TACTAAAATATTAAACAATAAAACCTCAATTAAATAAATTAATAAATATATATAAATGAATTTACTTATTGACTTATAAATATCATTATATATTTATACAAGTTTTTGTAACTCAAAATATAATGACGTAAATAATACAAATATCAATACTTTGAAAATTTTTTTTCTCTTTCTGGAAAAAATTATGAGAAACAAAGCGGACAGCCGAAAATTCAAATTCATGGATAAAAAAAAAGATAGACTAAAAATCTTGTACTACGTTTGAAAATTTTATTAAAAAACAGCATAAATACAAAAATAATATCAATAAAAAATTAATTATAATAAATATTTTCTATTCTATATCTGATTCTCAGAAGTATAATTTTGATTCTCGAATTCATCTGACTCATTATTAGTTTCTTCCTCAATTTCTTCCATTTCGACATTGTCCTGGATTTTCAAAGGAGTTTGATCTCCGATAAAACCAGTTGGTTTTAAAAAATCATCTAAATGCCAACCGTAGCTTTCGGGGTTTAATTTCGCATATACAGCATCAGTTGCATTAAGCCACATAGAATAATAAATAATATACTATATACTTACTGCATACTCTGTACAAAAAACTCCAAATTCTTCATTGTATTTATTGCCTAAAACAGTTACTTTTTTGTAACACGTGGTGTGGTAACCAACAAAATCGAGAACTGCTTCAGTTAGTTCAATGTTATGATATTTAAAGATTTTTTTTACGAAAAGCTAACTTTAACGAGCAATTTTTGAAAGTTTCATTAGTAAAATCAATTAAAGAATTGTCCGAACCACACAAAAAACACTTTTTAGCCATTTTTCATCACAACGATACAAAATAACACGTGTTGCGACTCCAAAATAACGCTCACTGTTTACTAGAGTATCGCTGTCATTCTCTGTCATATGACTACCGAGAATGCGCACTTTCTGATATTCGAGGTCCCATTACATGCGACTGCCATGTTGTGTCCTTTATTATTACACGCTATACTCAATTCGGATCTCTCTGTCACACATTTCCACTCGTGTTAAAATTAAAATCTTCAAAATTCGCAAACCCCTATTAGGACCAAGTTTTTTGCAGACAACCCTATATCACCGTGTTCGCAATAAAACAACGCTCATATTGATATATTTTTTTTTCGATTATCTAATCGAGTGAAGGTAACTGGCATCGACATACCTGTTTATACCTGACAACCGAGTAGTTTATCCAGGTAAATAATAGGCAACCCAATGGCTGCATATTCTATACGTTTCATACTTTAAGTCAGGGTAAAATTTTTCTTATTATCTTGATGTTGCAAAAATAAAAAAAAAACATTTTTTTTAAATAAATTAAAAATTGTCTGTCCAGGATTTTTTTAGGCAACCCATTTTCAACATATTTTCTAACATACTAAATTTGTTATAAAATATGATTCATTCTATTATCAGCTCGGTGAAGATCGTTTTTAGTTCGGATCTTAGACTAATATATAAATATTCGATATGTAACATAGGTCAGATATTACATATCCTATATGCATACTATAGCTTAATTTAGAAGGATTGTTGAACTTTATCTCTTTCACTATCCCTTCAAAGTTAGTATCGATTTGACAGAAATCTCCATCCGGACTATGAAATGAATGGCGGAAAGTGAAAAAGTAACATAATTAGGCCCAGTATATATAAATCGAAAGTTATCCAATCCCGTATTAGCAGTTAAAGTTAAAAAAAAAAACACAATCAAACAGTTAATTTCGAAATGTTATTGGAGTTTACTCCTTAAGAATCGATTTGCATATACAATAAGGGGCCCGGTATGAGAAAAATGTGAGGAGTAAAATCTATTGATGAATGACATTAATGACCTCGTTACGTTTTTGTGCGCAACCTCATCTTTCACTTTTAGCCATGGCAACGGATAAAAAACATTAAGTTGTCACAAATGTCAATAAAATAAATAAACTAAAAATCGATAAAATCGGAGCAAAATTAATGAAAACAAATAAATAACAGAATATAGAGAAATGCCGGTAAGTGTCCAGCACTCTGGAATAGTGATTTTCAGTACAGATGGAATTATAATACATATTTACAAAATGATGACTAGTGAGTGATATTTTTGAAATTGTGTGTTTCCAGAAATACATAATAAAATATATGATGAATATCGCTGATGTTAGATGCTAAAATGTGTGACATGGAACCTATGATAGTCGAAACCATGGGACGATTCCTGAGGTATCTCTACTTGTAACCGACTTCTTCGGACTTGATTTTGTTTTGTGTCTGTTCAAAGACAATCGTTTTTAGAGTGTAAACTCCGGTCGTGCGTCGGAGCTGACACACACATTTATTTTTTCATAGTTGCTTAAAGTTGTACACAAAACTTTTTGAGCGTAGCTGCGGAAGGAAGTTCTTAATGTCATTAAACGCTGTTTAATTTAAAAATATATACTTATTGATGAATTAAAAATCTCCTCACTATTGAAGTCGGTTAAAACACACATGAACCGTGTGTTCTGCAGTTAGGATTTCAGAATTCCTAAAGAATATAAAGGAATGTTATTTTTTTTAGAAGTAATCATGTTGTTAAGTATTCTTGCAACGAGTTATATCATTATTATCATCAGTGATTGAGGTATTTTCCCTTCGTGGATCTGACGATAATTTACAAGAAACTAAAAATGATTCAAGTTTTATTAATAAATCAATAATGAATCCAAAGACCTGATAAATAAGAAGGTTCCTGACTTTTAGGTTTGTAGACAACATTTTCTTATCAACAACTGAATCATGTTATTGTTAGTGTCCTGACATACTGTCTTGACATATTTGAACTTGTTATTTTTTGGGTTCCGTACCTCAAAAATAAAGTCTTATAGGATCAGTTTGTTGTCCGTTTGTCTGTTAAGATCAAGACCCTTTAGAAGAACCCTAGAAAGCGTGGAGTTATCAAGTTCAAATTTAAACCATATACTCAAATCCACGGCCCCTTGAAGCTGTAAGAAAATCAAACTTCTAACTTAACTAAGTTTTTTTTTTCTTACTGGTAATTCTTATTTTGTAATGTTAGTTTTTAAATTGTCTTGTTGGAAATCAATCTCACAGAGATGACGTAAATCAATCACTAATACTAATCAGGATTATTAACCATTGATTCATAGAATTGTTTATATTAACCCTAACGAAAAACATGTGTAAATATTTGTTGGGCTAATTCATGATACATGACAGGATTATACTGATAAATGTATCTTAATTTGATATTAATATCACTTAGATTTCCTATGTAAGTTTTATAATATTCGTGAATACGACCGAAACAGTGAATTTAGGTATAACGAATACCTAAATTCACTGTTTAATAGTCATTCTCAAGACATTTAGTGTCGTTTTCTTTCTTCGCTTTAAAACAGTAATACCTAGTTCATTATAGGCCAGTTATTTAAGACGTCGTAGGTTGCAAAGAATTAAAGTTGTTTTTTTTGTATGTTGTTAAGATAGCATTCGTGTAAACATAAAGGTGGATGGTTCAAAAGTGGTAGTCGGTTTCTGGCAGCGACGAAACATATATCATTTGAAAGTTTGTTTTATATTATAACATGAACAGATACTCTGAAGTTTTTATTTATCACCGATTAATATTAAATGGTGTTTAAAATTTTGATAATTTTGTAAGGATGCTGGCCACTCTGTCCTAAGTAACGTCATATTTTAAGTGTATGGCAGCTTATAACGTCAACTCAATCACTATGGCAAATGTCAAAATTGTGGTGAAGCTATTATACCAATTTATTAATGATTCTTCTTGAAATAAAATACCCAGAAAATACCTAATAATGTAATGAAAAATGAACAGAATCATTATCACTGCTTTAGTTACCTATTGAATACAATATATATTTGATGCTTTGGTAATAAAAAATAGATAAATAAACTTGCCATTTGCCTGTAATAATAATTATTATTTAAAAAAACGGGTATAAAATAAATTCTTGTTTTTTGTCAAACATTTACAATTAAGTGTCCTGCGTGTCCCAAATAATTGGAGTCTGCCGAAGACTGACTACCACCCTCCATACAAATTTGAACCGTCTCCTTTGCAGTTCCGAAACACTGCCTATTATTTTTGAAAAATTCGTCCTACAGACATAATTTCTGTTTATGACAAATTTACTCCCGGGTTGCCTATTTTGACCCCAACGTGTAACCCATGGGTATGGTTTATTAACTTAACCTTAAACAGTGACTGAAACGCAGCACCACCCAAAGGTAGTGTGTCATGTTATTACCCAGACAGATGCTCCATTTTTAGACACATCCTATTTTCTTATTAGGATTCTTTATAACAAGAAAACTATTGATAGCACTTAGCTTAGGTATATATATACTGTGATAGCACTGAACATCATTCCCCTTATGTGTAAGCTTATTTTTAACTTTACAACTTTATGTCCATGATTTTTTTTGTAGCTGATAATGGCCAGAATATAGTTAGAATAACAATTTCATTTTTTATTGAGAAAATAGCCAATTTCTGAAGAGTCACAAGACTTATAGGAACTACAGAGTTTAGGTTGCACTCAAAATGTAGGAAATTGCGTCTACAAAGTAACACAGGCACATGGTCTGCATATGGTTCACGTTCTTAGCGAAACCTATATACATGTATTGTATCTTTTTATATAGTATGCAAGGCCCTAACTAAAGGGAAATGCCATTAATTATCACGAAGGTGGATCTTTGGGCTACAGTACGCGCTCGATCTGAGTTCAGCTGTGAGGAATGCGCTAGTCGTCGGAAACACAGCTGGAGTTAATACACTGCAGGCGTGCGAGGCTTCGGAATGTAGGACCCAACCTCATACCCCGACTGCACTCAGTGATCGTGTGCGTACTGGACGTTAAACGTTATAGCGATAATTAACGGCAATTATGTTTAGTGTAGCCATAGCATATGAAAAAAAAACCTTCAGTGTCAAATGATAGTAAACTCACAGCTTCATCTGCATAAGCCACACTTCTCGGAGGTCGTTTTCTTGCTGCTCTGGCAGCTGTGGCCGTCACCAAACCCCCAGAGACTGGTCCAGGCTGGGACATGGTCCGGCGACGCTCCGGATAGTCATCTGTGACTGCGGCTCCATTGATTGCTTTGTTTAACACCTAAAGACATAACATGTTTTTTAAACCATGAATATTTATAAATTATTATACTTTCATGGTGACTAAAGGGGTTGCTACCGTGTACCTTTTTATTCCGTGATCATGGTGCTTGCAATAATGCCGAAATATTCGGGAACAAGGTACAAGGTAGCAACCCCGTTAATAACCATCATGAATATTTAGTTTGAGGGCTAATGATGGTACCTATATGCAATGTTATGCAGATGTATCAAAATATTGGATACTGGTTAATGAATAGATTTGATGTTTCAAAACTTAAAATGATTGAATTTTTTCTTTGGATTTTGACATTAAAAAATAAACAAATGAAGTTGAAAATAAACATCGGAACAATACGCGGTCGTTGGTGTGTGTGATATGTAGTATATTTTTACTTCGGAAAGAAATGCCTAACATCTGTTATATAAATTTAATACTTTTAATGAAAATAAGACTAGAATTAGTTAAATATACCATTTCAAGACTATAATGCCTGCTAAATATATTAAATTCAAATCACTTTATGTTCTTTGAGAAAATGTTTATATTTATAGAAGTAGATAACTCTTAGTTATAATATTCATGCACCTAGTGTCTTCTTTGAGTATCTAGATTACATGGAATTACTAAATTGAAGTGGATACTTAACACTATTGTTTGATTCATATGTAATAAGTGGAATATAATGCTTAGTAGTTAAGTACTTGTATTAAATTTTGAAGTGATTCTAGTGTGTTTTTGGGTTTTCATAATATAACGGAGTAGAGTCAAGAGGGGAGTTCTCAAGGGTCACAATGTAACTTAGAGCCCTTTAAATTTTTTTGCAAATAATCGTAATTTTTGAGCGTCTCATTTACACCCTTAGAAAAGATTTTGATTATTTCTAATAGAAGTAAACAGTAGATTTATTCTTCTTATTGTAAGTTAATGTAGAATATTTGCAAATACTACTTTTCTTTTTTTGTTCTAATCGTTCTACTGCATCTAGTTTACGGAATAAACGATAATATTTACAACTTCAAACGCCTCAATCTCTCAATAATATTCACTAAATTAAATCAAAATAAATACTACGACATCAGAAATATGTTTTTGTTGTAACATCATGTATTAGAATTTTGATTTTCCATCTCATTAATTACCAAAAAAAACATCTAACCTCTGTGAGTATTCCCAAAAAATAATGCAGGTTTACCTCGTATTTTGATATTGAATTAAATAGAATTACTATCAAAAACTTTCATAAAACTAATCTACCATCATTGGACTACTGAAATATGTATATATTTTTATAATTAGTTCATTAATAATTATTTTATAAGACTCGAAACATCACCCGTAAAATGCAATATATACTAGTGCAAATCTACCTACGCGCCGATTAGTACGGCAGCGGCGCAATTTTGTAAAAGGGCTCTTAAGGAACATCTCTACTCTTTTTGTATTTGATCTGTCTTGACGTGTTTTATTATGGCGCGATTACACTTGGTCGTTAGCCCAAATACAAGTGCCAATGGAATTTAAAGGTAAACGACTAAGTGTTAATGAATGGAGTCAAGTACGCCCGTTTTCGGGTCGTTTTCGTTTTGGTTACCCGACACCGTCTTCCAGCCCGTATTCCAGTGTAAATATTGCTTCAGTGCCTGAATTCGGGTAATGTCTTTTATATTCCCCTTTTTGAAATATTTGTTTAGAACTCACAAAGAAGTAGAAAGCATTTAAAAGTTTTCGTATAGTTTTACAATAATAATATTTATTATATTCTCAGTGCATTAGTATTTGGAAGCAACATCGGAATAAAGATCTATAAGCTACAATTATGCGATAAGTTTTGAATATTTATTAAAATAATCATAATTAGTCAACTGTTCATAAGTAACAACCTAATTTGTAACTACACGCATTTATGCTTCTAAATAGAAATTAGAAGTGAAAATAAAATGATCGAGTCGACAATAATAATAATTAATCTAATAATTATCTTTCGCAAAGCCTTTGTACGTTTACAAAAATGAAAAAATATATGAATTAAATCTATATACAAACCCCAGGGTCCGGTGTTTCTAGCCCGATTTCTTCATCAAGATTCTGCAGGGACGACTCCGAGTGAAACTTTTTATCACCCATTTTTTTTTTGTTTATTATTTCATCCATCATTTCTTTCCTATCATTATTGGAATCTGTCATTTTGAGATTTTTTTTGTTACCACAACATGAAGCAAATTATATTCCACTTATAAAGTGTATTAATACATCGTAGTCTAAACTGATGTAGTTCTTATGAGCACTATAACACTACATACACTTAAATGCGCGATTTAGATTGCAAATGAATAAAAAATCACTCTGTTATCACTTATCAAATGGAACGTATCTATAATAAAGGCGTAAATTATCTAAACCATCTGACGACTTCCTAATAAATTAATTGAAGACAAGAAATAGATTTCGTAGAATCCCAATGTTATTGATAAATAGCTAGTCTGGTAAACCCACGCTCCCCATTTCGTATAATGGAATGCATGCTTGAAGTTGCAGTGTATTAACCTACTCGTAGGTATTGATAAAAGTTAAATAAATCAGTCACGATAAATTAATGAGATTACAATAGGGATACTCGCATATTATACATAACGTAGTTCATGAAATAAGTACCTATATAACGTAGTTTTTAATTTTAATTCCGTTCCACCTCATTTTCAAGCGACTTTAAAAAGGAGAAGGTTATTTTCAATGGGGGTTGAATTTGTCAGTTTTCTATTAATATATTCTTGTTGCTTAAACATTAAACTGACTGGACCGAGGTTTTTTTTTCATTTTTTACAGAAAAAAATGAATACTTACCTTGTTAAGACAGCAAAAAAAAAACCATATGTCGATAGAGCCATTATTCATCTGCTGACATTTTAAATACGCAAATTGTATTTACTCTAACATAAAGTCATTCTAAGTGGCGATCCTGGGGGAGGTTATGCTCAGCAGTGGGCGTGGTAAGGCTGATCTGATGTGATGATGATATAAATAATATTAAAAGAAGTTTTACTTTTTCTGATAACAATTTCACGGTTTATCAAAGGCCTATTCTTTCAGTTGTTATTTCCTTAAATTTAGATTGGTATCTTTATTGGACAACATTTTCCACTTTGAAAAATACACTTATCTAATTAGGTGAGCGTCCGATGGTGTTTTGTTTAGTTTTCTTGTGAAAGATGCATTTGAGTAAACTCAAATGCATCTTTATTTTGATTTTTTTTTATTTTTACAGGAAGTAGTAAAACTGTGTTTTACATAAAAAAATTAAAAGGAACTTATTAACTTGAATGACTGTTTTATAAAATTCTGCCTGCAGCCTTTTCATATTCTCTTTCCAAATAGTTACGATATATTCACATTTTAGAAAAATACTGAGTAGTTTTTATAAAAAAATTACCTTTAATTTAAAATGTTATTTTCATGAAAGTATTTAATTGTGTATTAATTAAATATTACTTTACAGAATTCTGGCTACTGGACTTGTTTTTTTCTTTTCAGTTTTTAGTACAAGTAAATTAATTAAGCAGTCGGGTTTTTTGATTTTTAAATTTACTTTTTTATTTTACACTTTTTAGTTAATATTATCGATCATCAGATGGCAAATTCCGCAATCTTGTAATTTCATTGAGCGAGTTAATATCGTGGGGATTATGAAGTAACTTGCGAGAGTCTAAACTACTAATAATCAATCCATCAAGAGACCTAACCCGGCTCAAGGCTACATAAGCTTGACCTTTTGCAAAAATACGTGAACTTAAATCAACCACAGCTCGGTCTAAAGTAGTTCCTTGTAACTTATGTACAGTAGCACCTCAGCACAATATCAATGGCAACATTTTTTGGCAACAATTCCGTCGTTGAAGGTTCAATTCTGACCCCTAACCCAGGGACATTATGTTTAATGGATTTGTCATCAAATTCTACAATAACAGCCTGTGGCAATTCTTCAGGTTCAATTTGGTCCTTCCGAAGAGCTGGCCACTCAATTGCCCTCACAACACTCATTGTTCCGTTGACAAGGCCGTGATGAACGTGCAAATTTCTCCGTAGCATAACTTTTGATCCTAATCCGATTGTCAAACATTTTACAATTTCTCCAGTTTTGTTAGGGTCATCAGAAATATATGCATCTTTAGGTTTTTGGCCATATGTCTTATTACAAATCTAGTAGTTAAGCTTAAAATAAAAATATAATAAAGTAGATAAATTTGCTATTTCTTCTTTCAAATGTTTAATACTTGGTAAATTATTTCGTTTTACTTTAGTAACTAACAATGCGAAGCTAGCAGCAATAATTGCTCTTCAATGCGAAGAGATGGCGCTGCCTAAGAACTGAACTCGGAATCGACCGACCGAGTAGAATTTTTTTAGAAATAAACATCTTTAGATCTCCCAAATACTTTTAATTTAAGTCAATTAATTAAATACACACATCAAAAGTGTCTAGGGATCAAGCATTTTTATGCGGATTTCTTGAGATTGAGATGTGGCTTTGTAATAAATTTATGATTTTATAAATTTATATGGATCCTTTTTGGTGCATTTCATAATTTGAATCAGGAACTGTGAATCAAATTCGAGTAAAAGATGAAAATCAGCTGTCAATATTTTCCCTATAAAAACATACAACGCATTGAAGACATTATTAGTGCTACTGTTTCCCTACTACTGATTAAAACCAACGTTATTATGGAGCGGCGACGTCATTTAAGCAGGGAAGAAATGCTCAGAGCCGTGGGAATGATAGAAGCTGGTTCCCGGCAACGTACTGTGGCTTTAGCTCTGAATACAAGTCAGAGTGTTATCAGTCGACTTTGGACACGATACCGAAGCACTGGTACCGTGGCTGAGCGCCATGGAGGACGGTATCGCTGCACCACACGGAGACAAGACCGATACATTCAAATCTTAACTCGAAGAGCTCCAACAATAACCGCCATGATGTTAGCCGTGAGGCTTCATCACTCTTCAGGGAACTTAATTAGCGACCAAACAGTCAGAAACCGCTTGCATGAAGTGAACCTTCATTCCCGAAGACCGCTACGGGTACCACCTATAGCAATGCACAATCGTAGGATTCGATATCAATGGGCTCTTGAACACAAAAATTGGGCAGAAGAACAATGGCGTTTCGTGTGCTTTTCTGATGAGTCTCGTTTTGGTATGAGACCGGATACAAGACGTATACGACACTGGAGAACCCCTGGACGCCAACAGCGATTAAAATCCTGCCAGGAAGTCCATCCTTATAGTGGTGGAACCATCATGGTATGGGCGGGTATTTGGATCGGCGGAAGAACTGAGTTGATTTGGATCAGAGGCAACCTCAACGCTCAAATTTATGCTGAGACGATTGTATCAGACGTCATCGTTCCTCTACAAGTGCAAATCGGTCCCTTATTTCATATAATTATTTCATAATGCACGACCGCACACCGCAAGAGTTGTAAGACAGACTCTCGCCGCAGCTAACATCTATGTCCTGCCCTGGCCTGCTCAGTCGCCAGACTTGAACCCGATTGAGCATGCATGGGATATGCTACAGAGAAGAGCTCTGCCGAATATGGAGGGTATCCAGTCGCAAGAAGACCTTTTTTTGTTGTTGCAACGAACATGGGCGGCCATTCCACAGCGTGATTTGGATGAACTCATTTTGAGTATGCCAAACCGATGTTCTTGTGTTGTTAGTGTTCGCGGTAGAAATACGGATTATTAATTGTTTAGGTTACCCAATAAAATTTTAGAGAAAACTGTTATTTCAGTCTTTTTTTCGAACTTTTGTGTTAGTGGTTCAAATGTCAAAAATCCCTTTATTAGGAAAATGGCAAATTTCTTTATTAATGCAAAGGTGACTTGGTTTATCGTTACTGTGACAAACGAAAACACTTTATTTGATGAATCCTTAAAGAAAATTTTAATTAATATCAATCAGGAGAAAAGTTATTGCAAAAATATATGTTGATCCCTAGACACTTTTGATGTGTGTACATGTTACTCTGTAGCAAGATGTATTTAATAAATAGTAATTCTTATAGATTTTTTTAGGCTGCAAGGCAGCGCCATCTCTTCGCGTTGTAGGTAACCTACAATGTTAAACGAAATACTTTCCTGATGCCTCGACCAAATTTTTTTTATATTTATAAACGTAGCAGTTAGGTACATATGACTAAAAAACTATAATGAATACACCTTTTTTCAAAATTTTCGCAATCCAAGTGTGTAATTGTGAATTTAAGCATGATATTTCCTGTATTGATTCATTGCATTAGCGCCCCTGGTGTTGAATAGCTAGAACTAATTATAGAACTAGTAAAACGAGAGACGAACATCTGAATAAATAAACTGCTAAATATTTTTAATCGGACGAAAGTATTTACTACGAATAATATTACTTGTGTCGTACACCAGGCAGCTTATTTTTCAAAACTAACGAACTAATTAATCTTGCTCACAATAATGTAGTCGAGCTGATAGTAGCGTCTCTGGTGCTGAGTGGCTAGAACTGTTTAACTGTTCGACATTAACATATAGTACAAGACACAAAAAGTCAGGTTTTTTATTAATTTTGAGAATTATTTTTTGATAAATAAATAACATTACTTATGTAAGAAGCTGATCTATAGCTATAAAGTTTTATAAACACCAAAATTCATTTACATTTTGTTCTCCCAGCATCCCCGCAATCTACTCCTGCAGTACACCGCGCTATCATTTTGACATCGTTGTAACTATTTAAATATTTGTCGAAATGACATAGTGTAAAAGGCTAAGTTTAACGTCTTTTAATTCCAAAAGCGATAAAAGTATTTATTTTAATACAAAACTATTTTTTTAATCCAAAATGTGCATTGTGCAAAATGGATATCAAATAATATTTTATTTTTGATTCACTGTTTTAGCGATAATGGCTTACACATTAAAAATAGATATATTCTGTCGCAGACTTTTTTGTAGAACTATTTAAGAGATACATTTTCACGATACATTATATTCATGTAACTTTTATTGTTTTTGCAGTGCAGGCTGAAATGGCTCGCAGATGGGAGGTTTTTTCCGCCTTACGTGACACTTATTGTTATATTTTGGCCTATTCACGCAAAAGCTACAAAAATTATAATATATGTGTTATTATTATATGAGTCATATTATTGTTAACTTGCATTAAAATCTATTCAGTATTTTTTGGGTGAAAGAGTAACAAAGATCCACTATACAAACGTAAGATTAAAATTCAAAGCGTAAGTCCCTAATATGCAACTTTAAATCGTTGTAGATCTTAAACAATCAAATAAAATGAAAATTGGTGTTAGAAACCTAAACATGATTTTTGATTATCTAGACATATTTTGTCAACTTATTTTTTTTACTTCGTCACAATATGGCGCCTAATTTTGTCCATATTGAAATTTGATTACTATCATATCTTTAGTAGCACTCCCATGATTGAGACGAATCGATTGATGTGTGAATCATCAAAATCGGTCCAGGCGTTTGGTCTCTAGTGTGCCACAAAGGAACAAACATACATATATAGACTGTTAAACACTACACCCTGTCTGCGCGTTGCGCTTCGCGCTCTTGCATTGCGCAGTCGGGTAAAAAAAGCTTTCTTTCCGGTTGACTGGTAGAGAATGCCATATTGGCATTAAGTCCGCCATTTGCAGTGTACAGGCAATAAAGATTAAATAAATAAATAAATAAAAAAAAAACTATCACATTAATATAAAAAGCAAGACCACTCTATGAATACGGCATCAACATCAAATCGATTAATCACTATTAAAAATGATTATGACGTAGAAACAGCAATGTACGATATACATATTATATTTGTTTAGGTTATCACGCACATCTCTCATTAAATAAAACAAGTTTCAACGGGTTAGATGCACTGATTTAATTTATTTATTGATGTTTCGCATCCTTTGCAGGAATGCGACATTATTCCGACAACGCATTCCTGCAAAGGATGCGATACTTAAATAAATAAATTAAATCAGTGCATCTAACCCGTTGAAACTTGTTTTATTGAATGTATATATTAGCTATATGTACCAAGATAATAGGAACCGGTGTTCTTATTTAGGGTTCCGTAGTCCTGACAAGGAACCCTTATAGTTTCGTCATGAGTATAGTAGGGTTAAACCTTGCATTCCAACAAAATCTAAAAAAATACTGTGTAAAACCACAATAAAATATCATTAGTTCCACAACGCTACCGCGAGTACCATCTGCAAGGCCTTCGGATTCGCGCCAACGTTACGTTTTTATAGCACTTGATTGAAGATCGACGGATTTACCACATCATCCCCTTCTCAGGGATAATCGCTTCAGGTGAAGTTTGTAAGGCCCTTCTGCCCATAAGTATGAACTACGGGTGTGTTTTAGTCAGTAAGAGGCTGACATAACCCTGCAGCCGGCTGTAGGGTATCCATGAGGATTTCAAACACGCTCCCCCGCCTGGGAGGAAACAAAAAAATGAGCGATGATCATTCGTATTTAAAAAAAAATATCGAATTGACTTTGAGTTTGAGACGCACTTTGACTTTGATTAAAGTATTTTAGTTGAGATACATAGATTGATATTGATTGGCTTTTCTAATTTCCGATATAGAATATAAAGTTCTCAAATATATTGTGGTAACTACAGGCAATTACGAAACCCTACAATCCGCGTGGGACGACACGCACTTGGCCGGTTTTTTTATTGTCACTTTGGCAAAATATGCTCCAACATTGTTTACGTAGAAGATATATTCTTTGTTTCCTTTTTTTCGGGTGTTTAGATGAACTTTGTGGCAATTTAGTACGTAAATATAATTTTACCCCTTAAAATTAGTTATGGATTTGTTTCATAAGTAATCATAAGTGGAGTTTTTAATACATACCTATGACCTTCCTATGGAGTAATACATCTTAGGATTCTTTGCCTGAAAGTCAGCTAATGTAATTGTGCAAAAGGATTCCGCAAAGCAATAAATAACAAATCGTTCAAACCAACAATAAATATTCGTTAAGCACAATATGAATGTTGAATTTAATTTATATATTATTTTACGTTAAAAGGGGGTAATAAAAACATATCCCACTCAAGTCAAGGTGATAAACGTGCCGAGGGATGAATGAAGTAAACAGAGAGTATATTTTGTTAATATTTGGCTTTTAAGTGCAGTAAATAAAAGCGTGTTTTTAGTTTTTTAATACATAAGTAATATTAAATTAAATTGTCACTATACACACTGATTAACATAATGGTAAAATAAATGACTAGTTAATTATAAAAGCGACCACAATTGATAAACGCTGGCGATATATCCGTTGTTGATATACTTATTAATGTAATAGTACTACGATTCAACAATAATTTGACATTTTGATGGATAATTTTTATGATAATGTTAGTAAAATGATTGATCCACTAATTGTGATTCTTCTAATGTTTTGTACATTTTATACAAAGCAAAATTAATAACAATAAGTAATTCTATGCTCCATAATTTTATGTTGGTATAAAATTATCTTCGGATGTACTTGGTTTTCTTAATCATAGAGTACATTATATACCTACTATACGTACTAGTTGTCGAACCGAGCACCCATTGAATATGACATGCTAGAGCATATCTAGATGATCTGATAATAAATAAACTAGTTGTTTAAAATAAATTGAGAATAAATTTTCATCACTGGAAGAAGCTGCTGAAGTGTATTGTTAAAAAGCTTGTTAGTGACACAAGTATGTTTGGATTGTTTAATTCGAAAGAAAGTGTTAAAAAAAAAATATCAGACATGGTTCCCTTTTTAAACATTTTGGAAATTGTTGGTGCGACTTACTTTTTCATTATTATTATATTGTAAGAATATAATGTGCTACATAAATTGTAATTTTTAGCTTTAGAACAAAATGGCAGACTTTATCAGACACGAGTTAATAATTAGATAGTGTATTAAACTTCGTTTACCTATTTCTCAACAATGCAACTTACTTTGTACTATGCAAAGAAACTCTAATCGTCTTGATAATTATTAAAAATTAATCTTTGACGTAATTTAATTTTTTAAATTGTATTTTTTCCTTTGTCTGCAGCGAATACTTGTTTATTTTAACTGGTTAATAAAGATCAATTGAAAAGAAATGACACTGAATGAACTGGAACTGAGCATTTATTGCAGCCAAAAACTAAAAGGATAAACAAAAAAGATACTTAAACTGAACTAAAAAAAAAAATAAAGAGACAAAAGGATATAGTAATCGCGATGACATATCAAACCTGAATAACGCACACGTACTCATTGATTAAGTAGTTTACTCAACACTTCCTTCAGTTCTAACGAGAACTGTGACACTGGGAGGGCCAGTTCCTGTGCCGACGATGAACTACTCCTGTCTTTGACGACGTAATCGGATGGCACGACAAACAGCTGCTTCTTTTCTGCAGCTGCTTCATCCGGCTTCAGGCAAGGAGGCATGGGCAGATGCGGTCGCTGTTGCAGCCAGGACTGGAAAGCTTTCGTAGAACTAAAATGTAATATTTTTTGTAGTGGTCAACAGAAAATACAACTGCTAATACTCAAACAGAGACTAATTGCTATTATTTTAATCCTACGTACCCTTAATTTAAATGTTAAAACTAAGTAGATTTTATAATTATGATTTTATTTATTTTTTAAGCATTTAATTGCTAGATGTTTAAATCTTAAGAAAAGTTTACTAGAAAAAAATCCACGCGGACCAGGCAGCGGACGGGACTCGAACCCGCATCCTTCGCTATCCGGGTGAATGCACTGACCATTATGCTACCACGGCCCTATTAGCCGCGTCGAAATTTTCCTAGCCCTAAGCTGCAAGGCAGCGCTATCTCTTCGCATTGTAGGTAACCCACAATATATAGAGATATTTATAGATTTTATAAGTTTATAAAATAGACATATTGAAAACTGCTTTTTAAACTATGCTTACGTGAGATGCTGAATATCATCCCACACGCAAGCCATCGAGCGAAGATCCTCGGGAATCTTGAGACTGTGCCAAATCTCTTTGGTGCTGTTATTCGGAGGAATATGCTTCAGATGTTGCGGCAAGGAAGTGTTAAATGCCGTGGTATGGGCTGGGCTGATTTCAGCGTGTATATCGTATGCAATCTGTCTCTTCAACACGCGTGGACATGACGCCTGTGCAAATGATTTTTTATTGACTTCTAACAGATTAGTTAGGATCTTGGTTCGAAGTCCAAGATGTGTTTGAGGACGGCACGAACTTCCTGTTAACTCATGACTTCCTATTTACTACAAAAGAAACCTATTTACTCAACATTTTATTATATTCTGGTTATATAAATACAGATGCTGAAATTCTACACTATAGGCCATCATATCTCACATGGGTAGGTTATAAGCATTGTTGGGAGCTAACGACTGGTAATGCAACTGGAATCAATAGCTTATGGCACCTTCTGCAGCACGTAAGAACTCTACTTCTTAGAAGGCATCTCCTGAATCACACAGAAGCTCGAGATAATAAAACTTGGATTTTACTGGTGAGCGACCTATACGAAAGTCGCTTAACCTCCACATTCGCAGAACGAACACAATAAGCATTATGTTACCGAGCGCTTCATTGCACCTTTATCTGTAAGTGGCTTTACTGTGTCAACAATAGAAGGAACCATATGTTGTTAGAAAATTAAATTATGAAGCTGAGTTAGAGGCCAATGGATTTTCCACTTTTGTAATCGGAATACGATTTGTTATAAGAAATCTATAGAAGAATAATGCAAATAAGCACCATTTTTGTAGATTTAACTGCTGTATTGAATACTTTTTAATAAGTCCGCGGGGTTGTCTTATCAACCGAGTGATAGTGACGCATATAACTCCTTCATTTTTATATATTTTTGCTAGTATTATTGTTTTTACTTGCTACAGTAAAAATGTAATGTAACTATAATTACAATAATGTGTGTGGGAGACCGATCCGACTGCCGAAGTATACTTCCGGACACATCTATCGGCCCACCTAGTATTTTATGTTTTGACGCTCCCTAATGTTACATTGAGCAAAAAAGTTTTTGCACAGTTTTGAAGCTGATTATTAACCATATTTTTCGTTTTTTATTTTAATAACATTAGTATTGCTCAACCAAATATTATATTTTTGCTACAGACCGTTGAAACTGAAAACACAAGTGGCCTGGTAGATGTGTCCGGAAGTATAGCTATTGATATCCAAAAGTACTTATATGCATAATATTGTGCTTACTTGAGGTACTCCAACATAATTAGCAACACTTTGCAAGACACATGGTAGGATCTTTGGATCCAATACGAGACCTCGTGATGCATGTTCATCAAACCAAACCTAGAAATTAATGAACTCTTTATTAATTAATAAACCGTGTAGGTACTGTTAACAGAATGACTCATGTTTTGGGAAGTAACCTGAATCTCCACCTTACAGAAGACTACAAGGAAAGAAAACTAACTTTTTGTAGTGTTGTTTTTTTGTCATAATGTCCCATTCACGTTATTCCAGTAGCATAGAAGCACATGAGTCAGTAGTAGTAGCAGCATTCCAGTCCAACGATTGAATCCAGCACCTGAATGCTACTGTATGTGTATATGCACTGAACAGTTTCCATTCTAGTGCATAATCCAGTCCAGTGACTAGATTGACGGACTTTTCATTCCAGCTCACCCATTCCAGCGCGACTGGAATACTGTAGACTGCCATTCCAGTATTGCACTGAATGTTTAACAGTGAAATATTTTGACCTGATTTTTTGTAACCTTTGCACTATAGTCTTACCAGTTTAACGGTTTTTAAAAGACTGGAATAATTTGAACGATATAGTAAAGTCCAGCACGAGATAGGGTCCACGAGCGAGTTATGCTCTGGTATCGCAATCGTTTATAGACTATGGTGGTAGACGATCATCAGACAGGTCATATGCTTGTTTGCTACCTTCTTTACATAAAATAGGGTTAGGAGTAAAAAGAAAATTCTTTATTTTCCTTATTAATAAACAAGTTAACCAAGAAATAAGCTGACTAGCTACCCCGTGTTTTGTCCTAAATGTATTTGTCATTAACTGAACACAGACGCAGATTGAGTAACTAATCCAAAATTATTCTTCGTTTATTAATAACGGGGAATGAGAATAATAAATATTAGTGAAGCTAAGAAACCGACAGGACAATTACTTCTGGACTTCACCGTCACTTAACATCAGGCGGGGTGGAGCCATTTGTCGGACCTATCTATAAAAAAACGAAGACGATTGTACGTCCAAGATTATTATAATTTTATCCAACCAACAAATATTAGAGTCAATCAATAGTATATGCATATATGTGATGTCGTTGAAGCGTAGCTATACGAAGTTATCTGCACGATACGTAAGACATTTATAGGGATTCACGGGTGTAAAAGTATGTCACATCATCACGTTCATGTAAGTATATAGATTACTAATTTTGGTATCTACTGAATAATAAATAGATCATAATAACATAATCTATTAAGTATTTGTAATGTTATTTTTAACATGAAAATTTCCATTATCTTATCAAATGTGAATATTTATTATGTCGTGATATTGTTATTTCACTATTTTACTATTTGGAAATCACGTTGTGCTTGCAATAACTTCATGTAGCTGATCTGATTTTCCGAATGTGTCATGTAATTAATATTTTTTTCTTATAATATCAATGACGTAAGCCAATACCTGAAATAGATCCTCAATGTCCCCTGGACGTTTTATTTCGCTTTTAAATTCCACATTTCCAAGGGAAACCCACCAATCGTAAAATTCTGTTGAAATCTTAAAACAAGGATATAATTTTAGATAAGCGTCATTACTCCACTGTGTAGCATTGACGCAACCCAAATGGAAAACACAAATCTGTACACCAATATTATATAATTTAATACTACCTTTTTTTTTTACGATGGAAAATGCATTTACGCACCGTACCGCGCGCTGGCTGGGCGCGCGGCGTGTGTGGGACTCCCTGGCGCGGAACAACGCCGGTCCTGCCCACTAAAAACCACCGGTACCCTCCTACGCCCATATGGGGGTGTCTCAGGATCAGGTGCGCCACTTCACTGGGACGCCCCCGGGCTGGCCCGGCCCAACGAGTGGACCGGACACGCCTCTGGGGGATTGCGCTTGGGTACTAGGCAATCCACAGACGGGTTGGCCTATGCCGAATGGCACCAAGAGCACGCGGCGGCCAAGCCGCGCCCCGACCACTTTAGGGCCGAGGAAGACCGGCAGTCACAGCTGCCAGCCTTCTTCGGCCCACCCGTCTACGTCGGAGGGGAGCGGCTAGAGCATCCTCCTCCCACTCCCTCTCCGCTGCCTCCCTCTGCCCCATCACAACTTCGCAGAAGGAGGCGGCAGCCTTCCATGCCCTCTCATTGCCAAGCATGGCTCGAACCATACTTGGCAATGAGAGCGGTCCTCCGCCGAGCGTACAAATAAATAACTACTTCTTAAACTCACACCAATTAGACTAGCCCCAATGTAAACACTAGGGTTTGTGTTATGGGATTGTAGCATAAAGGACAGAAATACGTATTGATATAAACGTCAGTTAAGTATTTTTTGTAGGATTCAATATAAATAGCCATGACCTTGTTACAAATGCTTGCATTCATCATACAGACATTTGGTCAACTGGGATTTAAGACTAGGACCTCTGAGAAGGCGATACCTTAAAAACCAGTATAAATTATACGACTCTGCTACAAAAGTCATCACCTAATAATTGTGCCATTTATAAATTTACTAGCTCTTGCGCACGACTTCGTCCGCGCATCAAGGTAGCAAATTTTTATCAAATCTGCTTTTCATCAATCTGCATACTATTTAAAAAAATATAAAGTTTTTAGTCTTATATTTGAAGACACAAATAACGTGTCAAATTCGGGGTAATTTTAAATCAAAAGAGCGGGACATTCCCTGCGTAATACAATAAGTGCAATTCACGATCCAGTTATATTGTAAAAATATACATAAATCCTAACTTGGCTGAAAACCCTAAAATGATAGTCTAGGGTGGAAGTACTTTAGCCGGTAAAAAGATTACTGAACACTGTGATAGTTTTAGAAGGTTTTTCAGTATTAGTAGTAATAATTCCTGTGATTCATTAACAGATGAACAAAAAAGTATACATTTTGGAAACCGGCAAAACTGTTGAATTTCGTTTAATTTTGGCAAAAATAAGGATTGAAGACTTACAACATACTTTTCCGATAGGCCCAAGGGGAACATACCGATGAGATAAAAGCGTGACTTAAATGGCCCTTAGTAAAGTTATCTGTGCACTACAGTAACAGTAAAATGTCGGATAATGACCAATTAACAATTATAAATGACACAAACTTTGACCACTTTTTGATACGCTTATCATGTTACTATTTACCTAAAAATAAACTTAGTTGTAAATTTGACGTTGTAAGTCAGATAACTAAATATTAAACAGAAGGTGTAAGGAAGAAGGTGATAATTAAACAGATGAAGTGTTCAACAACTTTATACTTTTTGAAGTACTTTCTTATGAACAATATTTTTTGCCATGTCTGAAGGAGTTAGCAATAGAACCAAATTTTGAGGTGAACTTAGACGGGAGCATGTTACATAGAACTGACCATGGGAGGAGCCATCCTGTCGTAGGTCTACTTTGGCGAATTGGAGAGTTTCCTGCATCTTATTTATAGTTACGATTTTATTTATTTTTTAAGCATTTAACTGCTAGATGTTTAAATCTAAAGAAAAGTTTACTAGAAAAAAAAAATCCACGCGGACCAGGTCCCGTCCGCTGCCTGGTCCGCGTGGATTTTTTTCTAGTAAACTTATCTTATTTATAGTCATGGTGAAACAGTCCTTCAGGGGAAACTGGAGCGTTTTGAATTCAAAGGGGAGATCATTTGGTATTAATAGAATACGTGATACAAAAAACACTGTTTCTCGGTGCAAAACTTGTGAAAAAACAGTGGGTTCAAAATGTTTATGAAATCTACCCGATAATAAATGGCATCGTCAGTGCTTACTACAGTATCTATTGAGTTTAAATAATCTGATGTCCTTCAAAGGAGTCAAGTAATATGTCATTTTTGACCGCTGCTTCGTCGTTCTTTAGGGTTAGTACAGCTCTTTCGCATAACAACTCTATAGATTTTTCTGAGATGAGCGCAACGTCTGGATTCATTTTTGAAATTAGGTTTTCTACTGGTTGTTACTGAAGTACACAGATCGGAAGGGACAGATATCATGCCATCTTTTTCTGGGTAATCACCATTACCTTGTTTTAGCAATAGATCCGAAAATGTACAAGCGGAAACATCACCTCCAAGGAGGACTCTTGTTTTTTGTTATTTTAAAATTTATACTGAGGGACACAATGATGATCTTTTAAGACACGCTTTTATCTCATCGGCACATCCCCTTGGAACTACTGACAGAGTTTGACGATAGTCTCCTGCCAGCAATATAGTCAAACAACCCTTCAAACTTTTGTTCAAAGCTTAAATAACTTTATGGGCCATAGTATATTCATCCCAGACATTTTTTTTTCTCAATACTTCTGCAAATTTACTCTGTTTTTAAATATTACATAATGCAGTTTTCACATTTGTTAGGTTCAGTGGCAACATTAAGGTAGAGTGTGTGGTCCTAACGCCTTGCAAAAGTGTTGTGGCATTTTCCGAAGAAGCCACAGCTAATGCAATGTCACGTGTGACCCTAATTTTTTGCATCAAATTTAATAGGTAGGTTTTGTCGGTTCCTACTGGAGCATCTAAAAAGAAAATTTGGCCTTCACTTGCATTCGCACTTCTTGCTATTTGTTCGTATACTGACTTTTGTTCTTCTTTTATTAAATCATAGTTATTCCTGACTAACCCCTCAAAAGATTTCACATCATAGTTAATATTTTTATTCAATACTATATTTTATAAAACTATGAACCTGTTTGGATGTGATAAGCCGTACTCTTTAAGAAAAAGCCCACCTAAACTTAAAGAGGCTTCTTCAATTTCTATCAGACATTTGTTAAACACTTCATCTGTTAAATGGTCTATGTCACCTTCTACCTGCATTTCGATTTGCCGTGTGTTTAAAATCTTCTGAAAGATATTCTTCAAATGCATCCCACAGACTTAATAGATCAGACGCTTGGCAAAACACCAACATGATAGTAAAAAGCTCGCGTATTATACGTGGTGATTGACACAATGCTGCCTCACTCAATGCTGCATGCCAGCTCTCATCGTTATCAAGCAAGCCTAAAACCTTGCAAGAAGACTGATAAGTGGGGTGTATTAAATCATTTACTGCTTTTAACGCTTAAAATGGGTTCAAATTTAGAGTCCCTAGACGTAGCCGATCAACGCACAGCAAAAACTCTGCGTTGATATGTCAGCCAGTCAGTCAGTTTTTCATTTTATATATTTAGATATGAAAGTGATATTTTCGACTCGTTCTTCTTATATGTATTATGATTCTATCCAAAAGTGAAAAGATTACGGTATAGATAGTAACAAAAAGTACTTACGTTATGCAATATATTTTATACTAATCTGTAAAAAAGTATAATTACCTGTTTCGTCATTATTTCAGCTTTTTTACTGAATTCATCGGACGCTGATACTTCAAAAGTTTTCTGTTTATATTTAGATTTCCATTTGATCATATCGGTTTCCGATTTGTTGCAATAAAGCATTGTGAAGTGCGGATTAATCATGTCTCTCTTGGAATATTTACTGACAAAATATAAATGGACTTAATTCTTGTCTTTGACTTACCAAAATTATAACCAGAGATCAGATGCATATTTACTTAAAGTTTTATTTTGGGTAACAAATTATGAAAGCGGCTTCTTAGGATATTTTTATTAAAAATAAAATCTTGAGATTCCGGGTTTGCGTAACTAAACCCATGTATATTTAATTAAAGTTAAAATTTAATTTCGCATTTGAGTATGTGTGTATGTAAGGTGTAAGAGTTAATGAGAAAACATAAATGAATATAAATTTATTTAATCATTAAGGGCACCTTACACAATATTTTTAGATTATACACACAGGGCAACTGTTATTTGTGTTAATCTGGGATTAGATCTCACGGAGTATGCACTTAAATTTCAATTTCCTGGAATTGCGGATTTTTTTTAACTAAATCTCAACTTTAGGCATATACGCATTGGATTATCCGATCTCTAATTATAACTAAGGTGTTTTTTTCCAATTTTGAATTATATTTAATACTAGCGGCCGCCCCCGAATTCAAGCGCGTAAACTTTAGTTTTTGACAATCACACAGGGACGTAACAGTTTTCCGGGATAAAGAGTATACTATATCATTATCTCGATCCAGGTCATAAACTATATAGGTACCAAATTTCATCAAAATCCGTTCAGTAGTTTCTTCGTGATTAAGTAACAAACACACAAACTAACACATTTGTAATATTAGTAGGATTTGGGCACATATTGGTTATATTGCAAAATTCATATATTCATAAAACTAGTTTTTACGGGTTAATGTATACGTATATACGTGCATTAACCCGTAAAAACTAGTTTTATTTAATGAGTGATGTGCGTGAAAACCTAAGAAACAAATATGTTAACCAGTACGGGCTGGAAACCGCCAATAAGATCCGCCGATTGGAAGGTCTGAAGACAAAGTGCGCAAGGAAACTAACATCGTTGAATTTCCTGAAGAGATGCCGAGACCACAATCTCATCCCACCTTGTGTGAGAATCACACCAAAAAAGGACATACGTGGGAGCGCCAAGATCTTACAAGAGGCAAGTAAAAAGCTACTTCGAAGGATTATAGAAGGGCATCGTTCGGATTTATATAAAATCAACGGCACCATTGAGGTTTTGTCCAGTGATTTGAGGAAACAATTGTCATCGGAGGATTATCATAATTGCATTCTGATACTTAACAATCGTGAGTCATCAAAATTCAACGAGTGCAAACATAGACAAATAGATAAATATCAAAGACTATCTCGCGTTCAGGAAAAACGAAACGCACCTGTCAGAACCACAGACAAGGCGAACGCTACCCGAGCAGTTGTCAACTTAAGTAAACAAAACTTGGACGAACCTACTTTAAAAGTTTTGGAGAAAGGACTGAATTTTGCTGTAGCACCACGCAGGATACCGTACGAAGAAATTATCTGTAACGTAGAGGATTGCTTAGTGAAAAACAACATGAGAAAGGAAGACATGGAGGCGCTGCGTCAAGACATTTCATCAGTGTTAAGACGGAGCAAGCCACCGAAATCAAACCTTCCTCGTGATGAATACCTTGCACTTACGAACTTGCGAAGCGTGCATTAACCCGTAAAAACTAGTTTTATTTAATGAGTGATGTGCGTGAAAACCTAAGAAACAAATATTCATATATTCATATTGTCTTTTGTGGGTTAATACTGTCTGCCAAGCAAAGGAACCGTCTATCAAGAGAGATAGGGGTGTGTTGCTAACTGTTAAAGGCGAGTGGCCGGAAACCTGTCCCTATTATATGTTGACAACAACCTAGACCCATATTATACCCCCTGGCGAGCATATTATAATTATGCTGTAGGTAGGTATTTCAAAATACAGACAGCAAACGACATTATTATAATTCTAACACTCCATAAGGGTGACTTCTGATAACATAGTTCGTATCTGATTGCTGCATAATGAAACGGTGACGTGTATCGAAAACTTAGGAAGATCTGGTGAATAGTAATAATAATAACCCTTATTCAATGAGGCGCTTGAAGTATGACTAAAGGGTTTTATGATTTGATGGCTTCCCACTTTCCTAATAAAAGATGGGTTATTACTCTTTAAAGTAATATTAGGACTTTACATATGAAATTGCCGTTTTTCATGAAATACGTTAAAGCCCATTTTTCTTTGTTTTTTATTTTTATTTATCAAAGTAATTACCCTTGCAATCAATGAATTTTTGCCAACGTAAGTATTTGTAGCTTATTGATGGCCTTTTTGAGAAAGCCTGTTGGAAGGGAGGCAACCAATTCTTCAAATGCAGCATTTTGAACTGCCTCTTGGTTATTGATGTTTCCCCGCTAAGAAGTTATTAAAATTCTGGAAAAAGTAGAAGTCTGTAGGGGCAAGGTCTGGTGAGTACGGTGGATGACGGAGAACTTTCAGCCCCGGCTCTTGTAAATTGGAGACCGTCTGCTGTGCATCATGAGGTCACGCGTTGTCGTGCAGGAGCAGCGGAGCCGAACGATTGACAAAAGCTGGTTGGAAATGTGCGAGCTTCTCCATCTTTGTGTTCAGTTATTCGCAGTACACATCTGCAGTTATGCTCATCCCATTTGGTAAGAAGCTGTGATAAATGACACCAGCGCTAGACCACCAAACAGTGACCATCACTTTAGAGGTCTGTTTTCGATTGGGGCATTGTTTAGGAGCTGAACCAGGATCTAACCAATTTTTCTGAGCGCTTGCGATTGTCAAACAGAATCCATGTTTCGTAGCAAGTAAGAATTCGATTAAATATGCCTTCGTCTGTGGTCCTGTAGAGCAGCGCAAGGCTCAACTCGACGCGTATTTCACGCTGGCGATCATTCAATTCGTGGAGCACCCATGGAGCACCCATGTATGAAGCTGTTTTACCTTGCCAAAATGACGCAAATGGACCAATATTGTTTTGATTCCAACTTCGAAAGCTGCTGCTAATTCAGTCGTAGATTGAGAATCATCAGCTTCCACAATTGCCTTTCATTCGTCATTGTTGACTGAAGTTTTCGGTCGACCACGGGGTTCATTTCTTAGGTCGAAATTTCAAGAATGGAAGCGGGCAAACCAATTAACGGGTGCTGTGATCGTTAGTCTTTGATGCTGCGTGCCACTTCTGCTGCTTTGCTGCCACGACGTTATTATACTCCATAATCACTCAAATTTTCAACTACGATGACAAAAAACGTACAAATGCGCTAAACGACGCGAACGACGAGAATTCCTTTTTTTAAACAATTTCAACTTAATTCTAGCGAAAAGAGAAAAAAATGGACTTGAAATAGCCAGTACGGCAGACCGGCAATATCATAGGTAAAGATCTATTTTATATCTATCAAATACCGAGTAACAATTGAGACTTAACCAACTTACCTTTTACCTAGAACACTTATGGGGTGCACCTTAAGATCATCTTCAGAATTAGCAGATTCATCTGTGCCCCCAGACCTCATTTCCGATCTAATACTCATAAATCTACTAGAATTGCCTCGAATCGATTTCAAAGACTTGGAGAGAGTTGGAGTAAACTTGGATGCGGACTTCGCTGGCACTTGTCTCGAAATGGATTTGGATATGTTAAAAGACTTTGTCCTGGCCACAGACTTTCGGGCACCTTAGGTTAACGAAAAATTATTACATGAAACGTGGTTATTTGACATGTTTGCTATAATATAACCACCTCACTAGTTTAGGAAATAGGAAAATTAAAGAATGTGGCTATTAGAAATGCATGAGCAAAGTTAGCGCTTTTGCTTTGTTACTCGTGCATTTCTATACTACATAAAAGCCTACCAACATTAGCGATGGATTGACTATGACACTATTTGTGTCAAAACTTATGCATGCCCAATATCAATTATGGTGCCCCTGAGACGACACCACTTCGACATGCTTCCAAACCTTTGATGCTAGGTTTAAGAAATGATGTTATGTTTTTACGTAATCTGGTAATGCCTTATGGAACGCTTAATCCATACTTCGAAGTAGAGGCGTATTTTCACATATTTTTTTGTAGACACCATACAATCTTTTTATTGATAAATCTTCATCATCAGTCTATTAATGTCCCCACTGCCGCGATGAATGGAATAGGAAGATTGGGCCGTGATCCACCACACTGGCCCAGTTCGGATAGGTGGGTGCTAAGCTAAAGACTGCAGAGGCAGCCGAGACCAACAGCTTAAAGTGACTTCTGAAGCACGTAGGAACTCGAAATAGTAAATTTTTGGTCACCAATTCTATGACCGACTACTGCGAAAGTTGCTTAACTTCAATGGTTGCAGACGAACGGACTAATAACTTGCGCCATCAATCTCATATTACCTATACCTGTAGATAAATGTATCTTTTATATTGCCAAAATAAAATAACAAATAAATGTTACATTTTTCATTATAATTTTGCTAGAGGTATGTTGCATCCCATATGAACATGTTTTCGCTAAATTGTGTAGTATAATTATTGTGTATTTTCAAAAAATGCCTTACAAGTCTTTTAATGTAAGGGCTTATTTTAAATTGAAATTATGAAAAGTAGCCAACCTTTCTTGAATTCCATAGAGTCCGAACGCAGTGATGATGTACTCCATAGCTCAGATTGTTCGTTAGCCACACTCTCTTCCTCAACTGATAACTCAAAGTCACTTATAGAATACGTGGGATTTAATTGAATCTGAAGAATAATTCAAGTGATGGAAAAAAATAAAATTGCTTGTGAAAGCAAATACATTCAAAGATACTGGTTTTTCCATCTTAGTTAACCTATTTAATTTGAAATCTGGCACACGTTCGAATCCTTAAATGTACATCCTACTTGTATTTATCTGTAATCTATGAAAATATATTTTGTCTGAAATGTTTTCAGCGGTCTTATATTAATAGTTTGGTTACTTACTCGTGACTCTGAAACACACTTATAATACTGTTCCGATGGCACGAGAGATGTGATATCTGATTTAGGCACATATTTCTTGGCGTCAGCGGGCAAATTGAATATCTTGGCGATACGTTGGAAAATTACAGGACCCACTAATTCACGCACTGTATCGCACTGCGAATCCCAAAACTATAAAAACAACATTATTAGATTTTTAGGTGATAGGAACAACATATTTTTAAATTCTTATTTTTAACGACGAAAAAACCCTGATGCCTGAGGGAAAAGTTTAATTTATTGAAGCAATTTTTGTGTACTTTACTAAAAGAACAGATCTCAAAAGTTTTTCAAATTTCATTAATGTATTTATTATACGTGTTTTAAATAAAAAAATAATAACTTTTAAAACTAAATATTAAAATCATCATGGTTTTGACGTCAGGTTCAGTCGGCACTTTATTACATTATTATCTTTGTAAATGAAATCTTCGTCGATCGCAAAGAGATTTCATAGTACTATAAGTAATGTCTTTGATCAATCCTTAATGTACAATAATATCGGTCTTTAAAAGAGTTTTACCTACCTGTAGAAAGCTTATAATACAAAAATACATTTGTATAGTCTAAAAATTTATTGTTTCTCAAATTCCAAAATATAGTAAATGACTGTATGAAAAAATCTGCATTATTGTTCCTCTAATAAATCAAGAGGGCCTAGATAGGCAGGTAAAGATTTACCTGTTCATCTTTGTAAGACATTTCCAAGTCTCGAATAACTTTTTTCCAGTGTTGCTTGACAGACGCCTCATCCTGTTCATATCGGGAGGGGGTAATGACCCGAATATTCTTGGACTTGTCCCAATCCTTAACGAGGGGTCGTTTTCCACAGGACATGATGCTAAATTAATAAAGCAACGCATTTTAGTGGTTAGAATGCGCCACTTCGAGGCGAATTTGCTTAACGAAATAAACTAGGCAGTTAAAACATTTACCTTCTTAATTCATTGCAGATTTTATTGTTTTATTGATAAATATACAAAACTGGGAATTAATTAAAATATTTAAATCAGCAACCGTGTCAGCAATCAATAAAATTTTTTCTTGACAACATCAAGCTGAGACATGAGACATCAACGCCTAAATTGAACAAAAAGAAAAAAAATAGGTATTTTTGTCGCGATTTTATCAAGTGCGGTTGGCGTTATATTTGAATTATTCTTAAAATCTCGCATGGATATTTTGAAATAAAATTGGAGTGATTCTGTGTAACAACCGTCTGCGTAACTGAAGAATTAGTGGAATCTTTAAAATATACGCTATTCCGGTCAAGTGGACGTGAGAACTTTACTGTAGTGTTGTCTACCTCACAGAAGCTTATCGAAAAAGCTAACTCGATACATTTCGTGTCAATCACTCAAAGAAATATTAGAATGCGTCACACCGACATTCTTAACACTACGCTGTGTGGGCATTCTAGCACAGAATTCAAGGAACTTATCACATAATTAATGATTAGTAGACCATAAAGAAAGCAACAACTCCGTTTTAAGAGTTGGCACATCCAATGGGCGCTTGATGAAACGATTTCTACCCTGTCCGGTGCCGGAGTGAAGAAAGAAAATGTGAAGTGTTAATTAATGGACCCAGAAAGTATAGTTTTACAATATCACTATCAATCGTTTCCTTCCCCTAACTTCTATAATTAAATACCTCGGTAGTGCCAAAACATGATTTATTGAAGACAAAACTGATTTAAATTATGAAACCACTAAAATGTAGGTAGGTAAAATTTATATAGATTAAAAATAATTTAGATTACTTAGATCGCGTTTTATCAAGAAATATCATATTTTAAGATATGTAATGTTCATTTCTCAAAATTTTAGAACCCATCAATTATGTCTACGGTGTTTTCCAATTACAGAGCATAATGCGACTCAGTGGCGCACAATGCCGAATTATGCTGATGCTTAATTGGAACGTGAATTAGTATTCAAATGCACCAGCAGAGCGCGTTAAGTTCAGTGTTGAAAAAAAAGTCAATGTTTGTACCTTCATCCATTTTTACATTTATTTTTTAACACAGTTTGAATTAACTTTGATTATTTAAAAATAAACTATAATGAAACGAAAGTTTTAATAATTTTTCAACAATAAATAATATTACTAACCATAACATATAAATAAAACATTTCGATCAATGCCAACTTAAAGAAAAAACACTTGTTAATTTTCTGTCTCTGAGTTGGTACGATTGCACGAATCACACGAAAGCATTACTTTTGAGAGTGCTCGATTGTGCGAAGCGTTGCTGTAGTTGAAACACTCAACGTTAAGCATTATGCCGCATAATGCGCTATAATGCTGTAATTGGAAAGCTACCTACATCTCAAAAAAAAACGTAATTCTAAACAGATAAATAGCGATTGATAAGATTTAATTTTTGCCACAAAAAAGAAGATCAATCATTATACCAACAAAATCTAGTTGGTAGCCTTTTTTGCATTTTCTTACATGGCAAATAAATAAATAAATGTTTTGCGGCACTAATAGAGCGAGGCCAAACTCGCGCTTGGCCAGCTTTTATTATTTTAAGAAGCATTGCTCTATGGCTTGAGTGCATAAGTATTGTTCTTACTTATGTAGATGACAACAAAAAACCTTAAACAACGTTAAATTACACTTTCAGCTCCAAAGACCTCTTGGTAGAGTCGTTTTTCCCGAAGAGAAAACGATATCTGCATTTTACTTAATTAATACGGTTTTTCTATATCAAAAATGCAAAGTATACGACCTATAAGTCGTTTTGATTCAATATTTTTGTATCAAGCCACGATTGAGAATGAGAACCGTTGCATTCCTGTAAGTTTATGTTTTTATTTCTTTCCAATTTGCCAGCGCGCCAAGATCAGAATGATATTATGGGTGTGTATTTAAATTCTACATTATTAATTTAGATGTAAGTAGCATCATATTTTAAATATCAGACTAAGTAAAATTAAGTAAGTTATTTTAGTATTTACTTCAAATAAAATAAGCGCCATCTATACCGGGACACTTATACTTGACTGTAAGCAGCATTCGCCCTAAGAGTGAGCGGCAGCGCTACCTCCATCCATATTGTTTGATTTACATTAGGATCGCTAGGTGTCGTTATAAGGGAGTTTCATAATATTATTGTTTTGTTATCAAAATAGTAATTTAATAATTTTTTTTTGGTTCTAGATTATTGATTATCGTATAGCAATTATAGATTAAGAATTAGCGAAATCTTACGTCCAATTTGTCCACCATATCATTCTAATGTGGGAAGGGTGGAAAGACGGTTGAAGATTCTCTCATTATAGCTTAAAACTGTTAGCATTATTTACTTTTCTTTCTCTATAAAGTACGGTATGACTATGTAAATAGTCAGAATATTTTATTAATGACTAATTATGAATATCGCGATTTTTGTGATTGCTTACTTAGTGGTGAAAGGCCATTAATGAACCACGCTAGTTATAATGTGACATATAAAATTTTTTTGGAGATACCTATGCCAAATATATATGATTTCTATACCGAAAACGGATGCGATAGAAAGATGGAAATGTGAAAAGTGATAGTGAAATATTCATGTCAAATTTTAACCAATGGCAAGCAAAATCATTTATATAATGTTCGTTCATGTTGACAAGTCTTTGTACATTGATTTATTGTTTAACTACTGTACGCGTGGAGTTAGTTATTTGCACATACTTTTTGACCCCAAAAGGGTTCACTGATTGTTCCCCGTAGGTGATAGCGTGAAAATATGTAGCCTATGTGTTGACCCGACTTCTTAATAATATTCGTGCCAAATTTGAAGTAAATCCATGCAGTTCTTTTTGAGTTTATCCCGGATGTACATACAGACAAACAGACAACAATTCTAAAAACTATATTTTTGGCTTCGGTATCGATTGTAGATCATAGCCCAAGCATTAATTTAAAAAAATATTCAATGTACAGTTTTGACTTTATTACCATTTTATTATATGTATAGATTTCGTATAAAATAGCATGCCAATAATGGACCTAGAATGATACTATGATCAATTTTATTAACCCAGATAAACCTTATACTTTGTTTTGCCTATAAAGTTGAGCTTTTTTGGATATATGCAGTCTAGCCCCAATATCACAGGATCATTTTTTTTAATAATAATAATAAAAAATGCCACTTCCGGAAAAGTTGGAAAATGAAATCTCATGTATGGGTTGGTCAGCATAAACCTTCGTTTTTACTATAGTTAATTGCTTTAAACAATGCATGAGAATATATATATAGAATACTTTTAATGCGATAAATGTAACTCAGGTATAACTATTACTTCCATAATAATAAGTCAGATCCTCGTTTATTCTATGCTCTCTTATTTTAAGCTCTTCGCCACATGCATTTTCAACAAATATTTTTTAACTATAATAAACTAATTATAGGCCTCATTTCAGCGTTTTTTGATAACTTTGAACTTACCTGCCTGAATAAAGGAGGTGTTAACCAAACTTACGACATGACTCTGAATCTTCAACTAGATAAGAGAATATAAATAAGAGAATAATTAAAACTAGAAGAGTTCTCAATACAACAGACGCGACATTTTAATGGGGCTACATATCCATTAATGGCATATTAATGACTATTATTAATATTTTATTTCACTCCCAATTATGATGCCTATTTTTTGAGAAGCATACCGATTCATTAAAACCACAAATGAGTTTCTAACGCCATTGTTGTATATTGTTCGAAATAGGTTATATACCCATGGTTGTAACTCGTTTTGGGACCTCCATCTGGTTAATGCGAGATTCCTGTTTTGTAAACTAGTCAATGAAATCCTCGATCTCTGAATAAAATGTAGTAAAATTTCCTTCCACCTGTAGAAGACAGGTTTACGCGACCCAAAACCTGGTAGAAAATTAATGGAAAAACTCTTCTTTTCTCCAGATTGTTTATTAGTAAAAACAACATTCACGTTATCTTGTGGTAAGAATGGTATGAATTCTAGGCTAGGATCCTAACTAATCGCTTTCTTCATAAAAATCGCGTAAAGTTAAACCTTGGTTTAAAGCAACAAAAGCAAGGTGTATGTACATCAAATTCCAATGTACTATGGTAATGCGAAACGGAAAGCTAAATAATAAAGAAAAAGAAATATAATTTTGTTTGAAATCTATACATATAATAAAATGGTAGGAAAGTCAAAACTGTACATTGAATATTTTTTAAAAGAATGCTTGGGGTGTGATCTACCATCAATACCAAAGCCAATAATATAGGTTTTAGAGTTTTTTTCTGTTTGTCTGTATGTATGTCCGGGATAAACTTAAAAAGTACTATATGGATTTACTTCAAATTTGGCACATATGTTATTAAGAAGTCGGGTCAAAATATAGGCTACATATTATCACGCTATCACCTAGGGGGAATGAGCAGTGAACCTTTATATCTAACTAACTCCACGCGTACCAAGTCGCGGGCGACCGCTAGTATTATAATATTTTGTATTTTTTATTATTACTTCTTTAATTTTAGGAATATAGAGATAATGTAATAATATAAAAAAAAAGAAATGATGTGGTGTCGTGGGATACCAGGTAGGAACGAAGTTCCTTCGGCTAATGTAGAATCGACACAAATTGCAAACTCGCTTGCGTATGCGACTGTCGTTCCTGCGCACGTCTCATTTGACGGTTTTATTCCACGCACTTTTTTCTTACGGTTTTACTATCACATTTTTTTCAGTTCGGTCGCGCAGCAAAATCCCTATCCCCTCCAAGCCTGCCGTAAGGAACTTCGTTCCAATACCTTTTTGAGAACATGTTATGTAATAAAATTTTTAGTTAATGCTTTCTCATTTGCGAAAAAATACTAGAAATAAATTAATTTAATACTCTGCTTGTTACTAATGAACAATTATCGACTGCTTTTTTTGTAATGTGTAACAGATTTTCAATAATTATATTAAAAAGGGGCACATTTTTTTTATAACTCAAAACCCATGTATCGGTCGCTTGGTCTATCTGGGTTAACCTACTTGCTGAGTTTGTTACCAGTTGTAGATACCTAAGGTAGTGGCACCAATAGGACCACCAGCCTACAGAATCAATGATCCATATTTATCATCAAATATGTGAACAGCGAGCTAGATATAGACGCTCGGTGTTACTATATTTAGTGATCGGTTACGTACGAATACTTTAATATTTTGTAAATATTGTTACATAAATTATTTAATGCTGTGAAGATTTCTTCGCCAGTTTTTCTCCACAGCTACAAAAATGTCCTTAACTTGTTGTACGTGCTGTTGTATTGTGCATCGAATAAAGATATTTTGACATTTGACTTGACATTGGAATTGACTTTAGACTACTCTTATTTTCATTGATCACAGAAAAAATGACAATCATACAGTATAGGTTTTTGTCGGTCATTGGTGCCACTACCTTAAATATCTAAGAATTGATAAAAAATATCTTGTGTTTTATCTGTAGTAATACGTAGACGAAACCGGTAGCCGATAATTTTATTTCAGTACCTACCTACTTGTCTTAACTTTTTAAATTCTTGATATTTAATTCAGAATGTAAAAAGGAAACCAATTAAAAAAATACTTGAAAAAAAGGGATTTCAGAAACGAGTGCAATTCCTTCTATTAAAATTTCTTTTTAATTGTGTATATAACAGTAAAACTCTTAAATAATAATATAGGATAACAATACTAATAAATATATTATACTTGATGTACTAATATAACTAATATAACTGCGGCAGTTGTGACCTGTAGTTATCTACCTTTAATTAATTTTTGTGACACAGACTGTGATAAATACTAACTATGCAAAATTTAAAAAATTACACCAGTTAAAAACGATAAATTTATTTTTTATTTTAAAAATTTGACGTAATTTTCAGCCCTTACATTTTCCCAGTTGTTCAGCATCTTCAAATGTGTCCGGAACTTTCATTTTTAACGTTTCTGGTTGAGTGAGGACTAGTAGGGCAGATATAACTGCCATACTTCCAAACATCATTGATGGGATCCCACTCCAATAGTCCATTAATGGTGGCGTCAGCGGTGAAATTACAGAGCCAATGCGCCCCAACATAGAGGAAAACCCTAAGAATGAGTGCCGATGTCTAGTCGGATACAATTCTGCAGTATACAGGTAGAGAGAAGTCATTACCAAACCTATAAAATACTTTCCGGCTAAAAACAAAATTAATGACAATGCATACATGCCCTTTGGAGTGAAAGCGAATCCTACGCAACAGATTCCACATGCTGTGTATCCCATAAATAGGGTTGTTTTACGACCTATTCTATTTAATACCAAGACTGCAGTCCAGAATCCTGGAATTTCAATTGCAGCGATAGCTATGTAATTCCAATACATGTTACCAGATAAACTAACAGAGTTGATTGATAAGCCATAGTAAATAAATGTGGTAGTTATCCATAAAACGGGTGTCGTGCAACATCTACGTAACATTGTAGGCGATTTAAATACCTTCATGAAAAGATTGTCCACGTTCTTATTTTTTGTGCTTAACTGTATTTGCTCTGGTATAGCATGAATCAAATAACTCATTGTTTTATCAGAAATATTTCTTCCATTAAGTGTAGCTGCTTGGTTTACAGTTGTTTTCGCTTGGTCTTGTCTATTTTTAGTAAGAAGCCACCGTGGACTTTCAGTGACGAGCCATTTATAAGCGACTAAGAGAAAAGCTGGAGTGAATAGAACTAAACTGAGACGTCGCCATTCGTAAATTTGTGATGCTATAACACCCAGTAAAACCTGACCTAGAGCAAACATTGAAGACATTGTTGCACTCGTTATTACGCGGAATTTAGGTCCAACTATTTCTGTTGCTAATATGTAAGCAGCGCTGAAAGTTCCTCCACCAATGGCCGTTTGCATAAATTGTAGAGCTGCATACATTGCGTAGTTAATAGAAAAAGATCGTACAAATCCTACTAGTGCTAAATTGAAAGAGAAAAACATTATTGAGGCTCGTCGTCCATAGCGATCTGATATAAATCCAGCAAGGGGCAGTGCAATCATGGCTCCCATGCTATTGAGCGTACCTGCCAGAGCTCTAAGCCACTCTTCACATTCAAGATTAAAATCATACACAACAGAATTAGTTCTAAGGTAAACATATTTATCACACGATAATGTCACATTACGATTAAAAATATTTCTGTGACAGAATGCTTCAACAGGGAGCTCTTCTTGAAATGTTAAGTTAATAGCAAAACGCTGGCATTCGTCAAATCCTGAAGATGTACTTGGAATAGCGTCATATATCCAAGTTGGTCTAAATTCAGGCGAGTCTCCATCGCATTCTGGTATTAAACATCGATGTGGAAGTCTTGATGCCGAAAATATATACTCGCCAGCCATAAATCCGGATACAATCGCAGGTAGTGCTAGCAGTAAAATATTGATTATTTGATATTTTCCGAAATGACCTATTTCACCATACAAAACACTTTCGAATTCCATTTTAGTATCACTTTCACTTGTAGGTTTCATTCTTTTTATTTAATTGCGTAAATTTTATAAATATATCACTGTCGTAAATGTAAAGTCGTTCTAACAATCCAAGTATTTGAACACTTCTCCAGAAGACGGCAGCTTATCTGAGGTTTTATTGCGTTTGATGATAATGTATATTTCTAAATAAATACCAACCTTGGTAATCTCACATTTAATATGAAACCATTTTATTTCACTATGCCTGATTGTTTGATCGTTTAAATTATATGCAATACTGATAACTTGGCTTCGGTTCAAAATTTGGCAAATTGCCATTTCTAAAATTATTTTCTACGACAGTGAACTTTGTACAAGTAAAGTAGATAATTTGTTTTATGAATTTGGTATATAGCAGCATTCATAATGTAAACAATAAACTTAATGTTTAAATTGCTGATAGTGGGAATGGTTAGGCTTATTTATACATCTGAAATGATAAAGATGTCTTAAGGAGCAATTTATTTACTTCTGGTGCAATTTTATCATGAAACTAGCTTTTGCCCACGACTTCGTATGCGTGCAATTAGTGATTTCAGTAGATTATTTTTACCCAATCTGATTTTATATTAGTCTGTTTACAGTTTTAATCTGAGAGAAGCTATAAGTCTATTTACTCAAGGCATAAGATTTTTCATAGAAACTTAATTCTCTTTTTTATTCTCTTAGGGTTACATTTTCGAAAAACCCTACTTCACATTTTTCTTTGTTTCTGGTCTTTAGTAAAAATATCAAGTTTGGAGTTAATCGAAATGCGCGTTAAAATCCATCCATATAAAAAAAACAAAATTGTTATATTCGTGTGATAATTTCATTCGGCAAGGGTCTTAATTACCAATGTCTTGCCATGCCATGACAAGGAAAATACATTTTTCTTTTCCACTAAATAATCATTTATTTTAAGTAAATAGTAGCAATACAGTATACAGCAATCTCTCCATTGGAAATTTTTCACTGCCAATCTTATTGAAAAATTATGAAATTTATTTAGGGAATCCAAATTATCATGCTTTCTAAAACTTACCATAAATCGTAATCAAGTAGATTAAGATGGGAACTGGATGATAGCCAGTCTTCAACTCTGATGAAGTCAGAAACGTTCGTTTACAACCACACTTGGGTGGGTCATGGGTCAAGCATTGTGTACACTACCGACTGGCAGCACTGGCAGGGTCGCCATGTAATGATGATTGTTGAGGGTGCAACAAATAATAAACTGACTTCGATTAAAAGGATAATTATTGCTTTACATAAGCTTATATATGGGGCGGAGATGAGTTTGTGCATATGTTGAAATATAGTTGCTACACACTCACTATAGAACCATTTTTGCTTATACCATAGTGTTTTGATATCTTTTTAACAAAAATATAGCTCAGTTAATCCTTCATAATTAACACCGCACCAAACCATCACTGAAGTCAGATAAAATCCACGATGTACTCTGCTACTAATTGGGAAGCTTCTATAGATATATTCGATCAAGAAAATACTGATGACGAACAAGTGAAGTCTACAATTTCTACCTGTTTTCAGGGGATTGACAAAATGTTATTTTTTTAGCGAAGGTATTAAAAAGTTATTTGAAAGATCTGAAAAGTGTATAAGCCTAAAGGGAAAATATTTTGAAAAGGGTAACTTATTTCATGTTATGACTAACCGCCATAGCCTATTCTTCCTATTCCATCAATCGTGAAGGCCTATGCACTTCCTATCATTGGGGATAAAGATGAATGACGAAATAATTCCATTAAAAAAGAAATTTATGCATTTCAATGAGGAAGCATGTATACGAGTACAAAGTTTATGATAATGTCTAATAAAGTGATGTATCAGTATCTTATCTTATCATTATTGTAGAAGTTGATAACCAATTTACCACTCAAGTGATAACGAAAATACCGAGCTGATGGTCACACTCAGAGATGTGAATTTAAAGTTGATGCTGTTGCTTTCTTTGCAATTATAATAGACTGAGACCGTCGTTCGAAATAACACTAATTGATTAACGATACTTGATAGCAGTAGTTAATTCAGTGAATATTAACTTGAGAACATCTTTCATGTCAAAATATTCTTTGTTCGTATAGGTACAGGACGCGATGTAGAAATAAAACTATTGGAAGGCACAAGTGCAAAGGTGCAAAGAAAAAATAGTACATTGTTCACCGAGAGGAGAAAGTGACCGATTACAAACGAGGGTGTAGGTTGAGGCTCGAGGCGCAGCCTAGCCTTAATACACCCAAGTTGGGAATAGAACTTTCTTTAGAGGGATACATAGTGCTTTATACTATACCTCCGAGGAAAATAAAAGACAAATTCTTTAATTGTTATATTAAAGTAAATATATGCATATATTTTTTTAAGCTCATATATTTTTTACTTAAATAGTAAGTAAAAAATATATGATCTTCTAAGGAGTTTGGTTAAGATGAGTCCATTCGCCTAAAGTGTCAATCAGATTCAGGGCTCTGGCCAAATAAAACAATTTAAAGGGTGTTTTATAATTAAAAGCATAATTTAAAACCATATTCTCTTTTATTTAACAGTTACATTGGCTTTATCAATTTTAGTTTTAGGTGCATTAATTAGTATCGGCTAATTGTGATAATCGTCTCCGTATGTGGTCTATAGGCGCAGGAGCCACGTCGGGGGAGGCGAGAGGCGAAGCTGCCTCGAAGGTGAGACGTGCTTCCAGAACTGCGGGGTCAAACATGCCCAAGCTGCTCAAGTACGGTGCGCGTCTGTATTCCGGGTGTTCTATCATCCAGCGGCAATATTCTTTCACGCTTCTATAATAAAGAATAACTAGTAATATATTAAGATTGGGCCATGACCCAACACGCAGGCCCAGTGTGGGTGACGGCTGATATGATAATAATGCTGAATATTTACTATGATCGCAAAGATCTGCTCCGTCCTATCTTTTTTTACGCAATTGATATCTTTCTTTCATAATATATTTTACAATGATTCATAACATTTATTATTTTTTATTAATTGTAATATTGCCTGAGAGAGAAAGCAAAACTTAGACTGAGAATGCGCTTTGGTGCTAACTTTCCCAGTGCCCAAGACAAGTGATATACTTTAAATTAAAAATTTTAAAACATTTAACTGCTATATGCTTAAATCTAAATTTAATTGTACTGTAAAAAAATCACGTGGACCAGGCAGCAGATGGGACTCGAACCGGCCTACCGCGGCCCTGATGGCCGTGTCTACTTTTAAGGGTTCTTAACGAACGAAGTTTTTATAAATAAGCAATTATAAATTATAATGTCAAATGTGTAGACAATTCGCAAACGGTTACGGTTTGTAGTAGTATTATTATTTCTTAATTTTTTTCCTTTATGTTAGTGTTCTCTGTTGAAAGTATTAAATAGTGTGCCACAGCTTATGATAGTTTAAAACTGTGGCACACTATTTAATACTTTCAAGCGAAAACACAAACATATTATTTATCTTATTTAGCATCAAAAATTTGACACATTAGATCATAACTTGATAAAGTACTGTGTGCATGACAGTAGGAATCATGAAATAAATTATGGGTTTATTTAAAAATACATATAATGAAATCTAAAGTTATATTCAATATAGCATATATAAAAAAATCTTCAACGGTTAATTATTATAATTGCACTACTTACTTTAGGTAAGAACAAAACGCCACTAGATTGCCGGGACGCCTCTCCAGATAAATATCAGAATGCATTAGTATGCGTGGAAATAGAAGAAACTAGTAAATATACCAACCGTAAGTTAGTGATCCTTTCCCACACGGTCTTTAGTGTGACCAGGTCTCGTGGTATGCGGCAGACGGAGCGCCACGAGTTGTTGGTGTCGTTTCTAGGAGCCCGCCACCTTTCTCCGCACGGGAGGCTCTTACCAAATGTCACTAGTTTGGAGGGACGCCTCTCAAGATGATAAATATCAGACAGAATTGGTAATACAAGAAACAAGTAAATGTACCAACCGCAAGTTAGTGAACCCTTCCCACACTGTCTTCAGCGTGACCAAGTCTCGTGGTACGTGTCGGGCGGACCGCCACTAGTTATTGGTATCGTTTCTGGGAGCCCGCCACCCTTCTCCGCACGGGAGGCTCTTACTAAACGCCACTAGTTTTGAGAGACGCCTCACAAGATAAATATCAGACAGAATTGGTTATACAAGAAATAAGTAAATGTACCAACCGTAAGTTAGTGATCCCTTCCCACAATGTCTTCAGCGTGACCAAGTCTCGTGGTACGTTTCTGGCGGACCGCCACGAGCTTTTGGTATAGTTTCTGGGAGCTCGCCACCCTTCACCGCACGGGAGGCTAATACCAAACACCACTAGTTTGTAGGGACGCCTCTCAAGATAATAATATCGGACAGAATCGGTAATACAAGTAACAAGTAAATGCACCAACTGTAGGTTAGTGATCCCTTCCCACACTGTCTTCAGCGTGACCAAGTCTCGTGGCACGAGTCGGCCGGACCGCCACGAGTTATTGGTATCGTTTCCGACCTTCTCCGCACGGGTAGAGATGGAAAAAACGGCTTATTTCTTAAAAGCGTTTAAACGTTGTACTTTTTAAAATAAGCGCGCTTGAAAAAAAGCTTTTTCGTTTAAACGCTTATTGGCTTAAACGTTTAAAAGCATGCGTAAAAAGCGCGATGTTGTGTTGTGTTTTCGTTTAGGTATATCGTTTAAAAAAGCGTGAAAAGTTTATTGTCGTTTTTAATGTGTTTAAGTGTTTTATTGCGTTTTTTCTTCTTATTAATGAAATTTTTATTAAAAAGTTTTTTTAAACCTAATGAATAAAAACGAAAGATTTTCAATTGAATTTAGATTTTATAATAAACATTTTTATAATAGTCAATGAACTTTCCTTCGAACTTTACAAGCTTAGGACTGTCTGGAGTTAATATACTCGTGATCCAGGCGTACTTAAAAGTTCATTGATTTTATATACATACTTTTAACTATTTTATATGCACATTAAACCAATACACGAAACGCATTAACACAAGCAAGCATGCAAACACACCGTACAACACCCACGCGCTCTTACCCCGTCACAGCGACAAGCGTACTGCTTTTCGACTTCGTTTAATTAAACGCTTTTAACGAAAAAAGCGTTGGTTATCCGACCAAATTTTAAAAAAGTGCATTTTTTTACGTCGCATTATAATAATTCGCATGCTGTATTAACCGGCTCACGAAAGATGGCACGCCGACGCGGCGCTGTAGTCGCGCGTTCTATGTCTGTGATATTGTGAAATATTTAGTTCCAAGGAATTCCGCGTTCCCATTTTTCGATTCTGTAGTGGACTAGAAGGATCGAAGTATGTAGTTTCCTGGCAAAGACATAGATGGCGGGATTTACACTTTTTAAGTAAAAAATATACTTGCACTTTTTTAAGTGAAAAGCTTACTCACACTTTTTAAGTGAAAAGCTTATAACGCTTATACTTAAAAGCGTGCTTACAAGCTTAATATTTTAAGCGCGCTTATTTAAGCGCTTTTCGCTTAAACGCCCACCGCTACGCACGGGAGGCTCTTACCAAACGCCACTAGTTTGTAGGGATGCCTCTCAAGATAATAATATCTGACAGAATCGGTAATACAAGAAACAAGTAAATGTACCAACCGTAAGTTTGTGATCCCTTCCCACACTGTCTTCAGCGTGACCAAGTCTCGTGGTACGTGTCTGGCGGACCGCCACGAGTTATTGGTATCGTTTCTGGGAGCCCGCCACCCTTCTCCGCACGGGAGGCTCTTACCAAACGCTACTAGTTTGTCGGGACGCCTCTCAGCTATTATGTCTCGTGTTATTTCCCGCTCCAATGTTGCTAATTTTGATTTCTATAAGGCGAAAGTTGAATATAAGAAAATAAGTCGGCTGTTGCTGACTTTTAATTCTATTCACAGTTGATGAACAAAAATATTGAGTTACTATCGCGCCATTAAACTACGGCCATAGTCAATTGTAATCTATGCGACAGCCGATAGCCTAACTTAGAGACGTCAATCTGATTAGATGCCTCTCAAATATCTAGGTGACGGTTGTCTCAGAATAATTAATATTCTACGTTTATTATCACACTAATATTATAAAGGCGAAAGTTTGTGAGTGTGTGAGTATGTGAGTGTGTATGTTTGTTACTTCTTCACGTCTAAACGGCTGGAGCGATTTTAATAAAATTTGGTATGGAGTTAGCTGACACCCTAGATTCACACATAGGCTACTTTTATCCCGAAAAAATGTTAAGTTCCAGAGGGATTTTCAAGAAACTAAGTTAACGCAGACGAAGTCGCGGGTGACCTCTAGTATTCAATAAAAGAAGAAGGTAAAAAACGAACAGCATCAAGTTTAATCTCACTTTAAGATAATTAACATCACTAATAAATCAATATCACTGAGTCTGGCCCTGAGTCTAAAGAAAATTTTACTAGAGTTTTTTTTTAATTAAACTTAGTAATAAATTTCGAAGCGTAGATTTCGATTGCTAACGCCTCATCTGCCTCTCAATGGATAGGTGACCTAAAACATCTCCTGTGTGCATTCAAAAGGATGTAAATTCGTTTAGTACCTGCTGCAGAAGTCTTCATTAACATCTAACAATTCGCACTAGACCCGCATAGTAACTAGTTACGTATATCTTTTATTAAAACTTTTTCTGACATTGATGATATTACCTAATAATAAAATCTGATGCATTTTACCTCTAGAAAACCAGACATAGCAGCTATTCTGTCTTCGACGCAGGGTATCTCTTTTGGCACCACACTAACCCCTCTTGTTACATGCGTGTCAAACTCGATCTACAAATATAAAAAAAAACTTATCCACATGTGTAATGTAATTTTTGTCGATAACTTCTTGTTGTGACCAAACTTTGTGTTTTCATAACTTCTGTGTTTTATTTTAAATATCAATTTCGCTGTGGTATTTTGTAGCTGTTAGAGCTCGTTCTCACTCGGTCGGTCCAGGATTTTATCGGATGCTCCAGTGGCAGAGCATTTTATATCATTTTTGGTCGGCTCCGACACAACATCCGTTTACGACAAGAGTGAAGAGCTTCTTCTTCTTCAAAATGCACTGCTACTGGATCATCCGATTAAAATTTGGGCTTGACACCCGAAAAATGGGAACGAGCTCATAAACCGATGGCTAAAATTGTAAATTAAACAATCTATCCATATTTTTATTCAAATTGCACGTAAAAAAATAATTGCCGTTTGTATTATGAAAAACAGTGGTAGTGAATTTTTGTCTTGAATAGCAATTCCTGCCTGGTGAAGTAACCTCTATTTTAGCAGATCAGTTAACAATAAAATAATATTACCTTTTGGTAGAACTGTGTTTCACTTGGTTAGTAAATTTCCAGGGTAGTTAAGTGCACTCACTGTTTTTTTTTACTGTAGTAAAAAATATTTAATTCAATTAACTACTACTACTGAAGTATAGCGAAAGTTTACTTGCATGGAATTTCATATCGCATATGTATCGTATATTTGTTTATCTATGGAATAACGGGTATTAACTGAAAAGGCACATCCACGAATTCTTTACAACGTACTTGAAACAGTTCCTTGATAGCTTTCGGCGTGAACAGCTGCGACTGTTGGTTGCCGCCCAACTCTTTCATGTACTTACAAAACTCAGTTGCAATCTGAAAATATCACAGTATAAAATTCGCTGAGAGACTCTCGGTTATGTAACCAAAAAATATAGGGAAATATTTAAGATTTATAATGAAAAATAAAAAAATAATGACGTGACTACGATATTAGAACTAAGCTGTCGCCTTTGCTTGGATTACTCGGACAAGTGTATTTCGAAAGTATAGATATGACTTGTAGGGGCATAATCTTAGATTAAACATATCATGCAGGCATATTATTCTCTCATATTTTCCTTTTTTTTTTAATTCACACTTTTTACTTCTACCATTAGTTATTTCTTCTATCTACATAACGAAAACAGGTATATGCTTAGTATGTGTTATGCTCGATAAAGGTTTGTATGAAAGAAAGTTTTTGAAAATCCGGTAATCGGGATAGTGTTTTCCTATGTTTGTATAATGCACTTTTCTCATATCTCAATTTCTTCTAAGTATACTGCTCTCCTGCGAAATTTTTTATATAAATCCATATAAAAAAATCTCTATAAAGTAGCTTCAACAGTAAAATAACACTACCTTTTTTGGTGGTGTAGTGTTTCTGTTGGTGAATATGGTTCCAGGGTAGGACAGGATAGATGATGGGGTCAGGTTATACACGAGTGTTTTATTTGTATCTCAATCGTCTTTAGGCCGCTTACCATCAGGCGGGTCATAAGCTTGTTTGCCACCCTTTAAACATAAAAAACAGTACTGTTAATAATGTTATTCAATAACAAAAACTAGGTAGTTCCAAAAAACCTGACTTTGTCTGTGAGATCATCGGCCTTCCTGATGAGCGTCTTCTCTTCTTCCTTCTCAGGTTGCAGGTAGTGCGAGGGCCAAGTCACTTGTTCCCGCTCAGGCTTACTCAACAGTTCCATGTGAATGTTCAGTTTTTCATCACCTCCTTCATCATCACCATCGTCACTATAATCAATACATAATAATAATGTTAAGAATGGGTAATATTTTGTTTTCATAAAAAAAAATAAACTGCAATAAAAATAGTTTGGCGTAGTAAGTACATTTTTGATATTATAATTTTCTAGAATTTCTATAAAATAATTTTACTTTAATAGTAATGTAATAAATGTATAGGTATATTGGAGATCATCGCAAAATAAATATGGATAATTACTTTATTTTCATTTGATCAAATCTCGGAGATTGAGTTGAACTTACTGAATCCCTAAGAAACCATTTTTTTTTCCAATAGCATTATATTTATTAATATGTATGTGTACAAGTGTAAATTGCATTACAATACGTTCAACCGTTTTTTTGGTTATTGAGTACTAAGCATACAAATTATAATGTTAGATATGATACTTTTTATCCCGGACTTTAATCCTTATGGGCGAAAACTAGTGTTTTAGGTAAACTTAAAATCTGTGAGAAACCTCAGTTTGCCAATGCAACATTTTGTTTTACTTACCTCGATTCAAATTCAACGTCAGTGTCTGAATCTAATTCCCGGTCAATATGAAGACATTTTCTTTGAGATAGCATGGGCTCCTTCACCAGTCTTCTTGTAAGTTTTCCTAAATGAAAACGATTATCTGGGTGTCGATTCTGCTAAGCTAATGTAAAAATTATGTTTCAATAGTGGTGCAATAGTATTGCTCCTTGACACTGTTTTTGTTACACAAACATAAAATAACAAATGCATACTTACAGATAACAAAAACAAATGAGTAAGTGTAGATCGGTGGCGCAGGTTGTTAGCGCGTTTGGCTTGCGATCGTGGAAGATTGGTAAGTTTTATTAGGTGGCGTAATGGTCCTTGGGTGTGTGACCAAAAACATATTATCTCCCTCAAGGCACGCTAAGCAGTTGGTCCCGGTTTCATCTGCAGTCATTAGCACCCATCAGTTCACCAGTGTGGTGGGTCAAGGCCACGGCCCAATCTCTATATTCCATCCATAAGAAAGGCCTGTGCCCCAGTAGGGACATGAATAGGATGCTAATGATGAAATAATACATTTTTGAATTGTTGAACTGCGTTAAAAAGCAAATCTATTGAAACATCATTGATACACGATTATTACTTTAATTTTTAACAATCGCTACCCCGTTATGTTTTGTTTTTAAAAAGAAAGAAAAATTTTACAGAACAAAAAAGCATACCTTTGAGTTTAATTGACTCATCATCTTGAATACTATAAGCCATGGGCATATTTAAAGTAGTGCAAACTTTTTCATATAGATTATTAGGGAGAACTTTTGCTATTTGTTTGCTTTCTTCGATCTTGAATGAAACAAAACCAATTTATTATTGTATCCAAGAACTAAAAGAAGTTTTCGATGTCTGTACATCTAGTTATACTGTTAGTATTTACTAAGGTGTAACAGATTTATTAAAATAGCGGCATAGAAAAACCGTTTTGTTCTAGGTACTTCGTAATATGGTCGGCATATTTTTTTTCTATTATTCTATTAGCAGATTTTTTAATGTTATTATTACAAAAATATTTAGAAAGAAAACATAGAGTGCACTAATCACTCTAATAAGTTAGTGCTGCTTGCATCTGTTTTTAAAATAAAATTTAAATAACGTCATGTTGAAAGCTTTTTCTACTTTACAGATATGACAGAATTGCGAACCCGGAAGGAAGATGGAAGTAGTTATAAAAGTACATACATCGTATTTACTTATTTATTATAACTCGACAATTTATTGAAATCATAAATCATATACTACTAAAATATTTTCACTTACAGCTTCTGCAGTGTTGGCTTCGATTTCATTGAAAACACTTTTCCAGTATCTTCTGTTTGCATTCATAGCCTCGGCCACTTCGTACCGGGAAGGATTTACCTTCATTATTTTACGTGGCTTCCTGTTCCTTTCTTTATCCAGATTTTCATTTTGCTCCATTATTTATTAATGAAAGAAAAGAACGTTAAGAAAAAATATTGAATGTGATTTGCCATTCGCGCGTGGAATAACTACGAAGTTAGTACATAACTGTTTTTCGGTATAAAACCAGCACGCCGCGACTCCATAGACTTTAGAAAATAATTAACATGTTTTATAGCAAAGATTTTAATATTATAAATGTCTTTCTATCTGTTATGTATTTGGCCCTTCCTACTTTTTAATACCTAAAAGTTGGTCTCCTTTATACTACAATCTCTCCTAAACACAAATATAAAAATTTATGGTAAAAGTACATCATGTTGCTATTTTACACTGGCTGAAGTATGCCTACGAAACTTTGTTTTTAAAGTATTCGTAATAATTATACTCATATTTTGGGTAACTCCGTCGTATTCATCGGTAACTCAGTATTTTCATATGAAATATGGCTGTCACCGTATATGTCTTATTTTGCAATATCATTATTGAAAAAAAAAACTCCTAAGACGACATAATATTAAATTGTTTAAGGTTACATACAAGAACTTGAAGTTCATAACGAATAAGAACGAACGGTAAAACTTCGCTACTAGTATTAGCACACATTACGTTATTATTGTGTGCATTAGGAGAGACCTATGTCCAGCAGTGGACGAGCATGGGTCGATGATGATGATGACGTTATTATTATATTTCTTACGTCTAAAACCACTCATATCACCAAATTAAACCATTTTTATTTATATTTTTCATCTAAATTTACTCCAGGTTTTAGACATCGAACAGTAGAATGTCCCATTTACTAGGTTTAAATTACTAAACTGACTTATACATTTTAGTATAGATTATACTTTGATAAAGATTGCTTTACCAAATAGAAGTGTAAGTGGTATAAAATAAGGGATTAGGGTATGTAAAACAAGTAAATCACCACCAGCCACTATTTTAAGCTACATAAAACAATTGGCTAATTTTAAGAATAGTCGTTCTATCCTTGAACCTGTATTGTTACGTCTATGGTTTGTTATTATGGAACGTTGCTAAGAAACAAATGTATCGAGGTAAGGTCAACGCAATATTGGCGTTGCACATTGTGAATTACGCTTTTGGGCTTGTTACATTTAGACAAAAATTAGAAAGAGATATCTTAAATTTTTGTAAACGATTTTGTTTGTGAATCTGGTAAAGTTTGAAGTTTTTTTATCTGTACTGTCAATAACTTTTATAACAGGAGTTCAATACAAACTAATGTTCATATGTAGTTTTAAATTTTAACAAATTTGTTGCTGACCATACCAGATAACGGAGGACATTAATTTTGTTAATATACGTGGGTCGTTTAACCGCTGTTTTCTCGTCACTAAGGATAGATAATGGTTGCAAGGCGCTTGGTTTGATCAATACTTCAAGTTCTCCACATTTGAAAACCGAGTTGAGTTTTGCTATGGTTCAGCGAATAAATATTTTTATATTTATTCGCAGCGGTATGGCTGTGTCGAAAGGCAGAGGCATGGCTGTGTCACTGGTATTGCTGATGTGCATGGGTGACGATGACCACTGATGATGATGTTAAATCAGGTGGCCCGACCGCTCGTGTGCCTTTGAAGGCAATAAAAAAAATACTAAATGAAAAGTTTAGGAAAAAACTATCATTAGTGATACTTACCTACTAATTAATCATCTACCATGGAATAAAAATATGTGTGGCACTCGGGGACTGCCGCGGTAAAGCTATTGCATAGCATTTTTTTATCAACTTATGCAATTATAATTATTTATTTATGCACTTTTTTTTCTTTCATATTAATTCATTTAACACTTTTTGCTGCTGACGCTGACGCCCCTCTCTTCGGGCAACCAGCCGATGTCCAGGTCGGACATCAACGCCAGTCGCGGCGGTCAGTCAGTATGCGTGTTGTCACCCCTGCGTGTGCTCTTCTTGAAGTTCGGATAGATCCAGTCCTTGCTGACAAGCGACTTTTCCGGGATTGCGACGCAGGCCTTATTATATTTTATTGGCCAAGCACAGCAAACAACAGCATTGCCCAGCGCCGCCAAAAAATTTCCACAAGCTCAACAGTTTACCATCTTTAGTCCAAAAACTTAAATTATAATTATAAAGTCTAACTAAAAGGGAGACAAATAAAAATTTAAACAGGTGCTGGGTCTAAAAAAAATATGTATAAAAAAGGAAAAAAGTAATAATAAAAAAGAACGAGTGGGGGATTTGAACCGATGACCGCGGTGACGCGTCGAACGTTGGTCCCGTGGCAAAAACTTAATACATTGCGCCGTTTAGATCGATACTGGAATGGCAAAAATTGGTAACATATGCACTGTTGTCAGCTTATTTTCGTTACGGAATTTCTTAATTCGGTCGCCGCGCTCAAAGCCCGCAATAAAAGCTATACAATAGCTTAAAAAAATAAAAATCGAAATATAAGAGATTTAATCTAGACGATTGTTTGTTGCAACGGTAGCACTTCTGCCTTCTGCCCGAAAGCTCCTGGGTTCAAATCCCGCTAGGGGCTTTAGTTGTGATGGGCATGAGTATTTGCTCAAGTACAGTTGTATACCTATATATACAAAAATTTATATGTTCTATAACTTATTTAGGGGCCATAGTATAAGCTCCGCTTGGTTTGATACTGTATAATTGATGTGCGTTGTTCAGAATTTATAAATTATCTATATTTATTATCTCTTATCTATTAGACAAGTCCGTCCGTCCGTCCGTGGTGCTGTTTCAGCGGCCAAACCGTAAGAGATAGATAAAGAGAATGTTTAAGTTATAAGTTGAGAATAGTCTGATAAGATTACAAACCGGATGTGAGTAACGTAGCACTTCCGGTTTTCGAGAAATCACGTGATTTCTATTTCAAACGAAACCACACAAAATCTCCGAAGTTCTCAATTAATTAAATACATTTTTTTTTGGTGAACATTTGGTTCACTGGTTTGCTAGTAAAACTATAACAACCTAATAAACAGCGTTTCTGTAGGGGATATAAAGGGGATGCACTTAAGGTGTGGTTAAGCCAGGAAGGCCACATAGCAATTCAATTCAATTCATTTATTCCATTAATATTTCAACTAAAGCCATAATATTTCAACATAATATGAACATTTCATGATTTACTAAATCGAAAGCAGAGCTGAGATCCAACGACTTTCTTTTTAAAGTTAAGAGATTGTGCTACATCATATAAAAGTTTCTACTGCCTCGTCTGTACCTACATTTTTTTGGTAACTAAACTGTCGTTCACTAATTATATTATTTGTAAGAAGATGGTCAACGAGTCGATTTTTAATCAGTTTTTAAATATTTTTTATATTGTAGGTAATAGTGATATTGGCCTATAATTATGGGGATCTGTTTTGACTCCTTTTTTGAGTACAGGAATAACTTTTGCTATTTTAAGCTGATCCGGAAACATTCCTGAGTCATAGCACGAGCTAAAAAAGTTGATAACGGTTCCGCAAAAATATCAATATTATTCTTTATTAACGAAATTGGCAAATGATCGTGTAGCAGTTAAAATATATACCAAATTGTATGAGTATGGTATTTATTATATTACACTTTTTATGATATATTCATACAGAGAAGATAACAAATTTAATATATCTATTCTGATGAAGATCGATGAGGAAATACAGGGGAGTCAAAGTATTAACCGAAACATTTGAAAAAAAGAACAGTTTGCAAAATTTTAATAGCAAAGAAAAGACAAATAAAGCCTTCACAGAGTAGTGGTGCGAGTTTATTCAGACGTCGCAGTTGTGTCAGATTTCACAGGAACCGCGCTTAACACAATATTAAGGCGGAGCGCAACGTCAAGTTGGCATAACACTGTTTAACTTTCCCCCATTCTGTATAAAGCGGAATGAGTGGTTGCTCGTTTATCTACATTTTATTTGCTGGTTGAAATTGATATCTACCATCAAGTTATGCTCCAATAAAAATGAAACAAAAATGTAAACAGCTTTTGGAAAAATTTTTTTTTTTTAATTGAAAACTCGGACTGAAAAAAAGACAAAAATTCGCATAATTAAGGATATTTGGATAACTATATAATAACTTTGGATAAATTTTTCATGGTCATATCTGAAAACTAGACACTTGGAGCTACAATTTGCTTTTTTTTCTGTACGATCATTTTCCTCGGAGGTACAGCTCGTAGAATATATATATTCCTTAATTTTTGTGACTAGTTTATTATTTTTAACGTTTCGTTCCATTTTCGATTTTGAAGTCAGCTATATTTTTTGTTTATTTTTTTTTTGTGTAAATGAACAAATTTTATTATCGATTTTAATATTACATCGTTCAAAAAATGATTTTAAATTTAGCTTTTCATTCGCTAAATAAAAATAAAATTTGGTGATTTTGTTTTTGTTTAGCTTTTCATGGATATCACTCCTTCTCCTCTTTTTATTGATCTTTGTATATAGTACATTAACCATTGTTCCTGTAAGTAATGAGTTTGAATTTCGCGCGCACCGTTTGAAATGACAGTTACGTCAGGCACAAACGCGCCTACTGGTGTGCGCAAGCACTACGGTTTCCATTAGACAGCAAAGGAGTAATTCCAGCACTGTCAACGACGGACTATAATTTTCGTCCTTCGATCCTCGGTTCGCGTCCTTTGTCGAAGAAACCGACTGATCAACCTTTATTAGCCTTTCGTCACCTGGTTCCGTCTTCCAAGAAGCCGTCTACTCAGCAAGTACGTGGTGCTTCGTTGTGTTTGGCAGTCATTGCAAACTACTGTTTTCTTAGTCGTTAGCGCGACAAACTCGGGTTTGCTTATACATATACTGATTTGCGTAAATAAAAGTCCTGTCATGCACAGTCGCTGTTAAAAAGATCATGCGCATTCTCTCACCTTGAAAGGTCGCGTCGCATGCAGCTGTTTTTTGCGTTTCTAAGGTTCCGTAGCCAAATGGCAAAAAAAAGAACCCTTATAGATTCGTCATGTCCGTATGTCTGTCCGTCCGTATGTCACAGACACTTTTTCCCGAAACTATAAGAACTATATACTGTTGAAATTTAGTAAGTAGATGTATTTTGTGAACCGCATTAAGATTTTCATACAAAAATAGAAAAAACACAATAAATTATAGGGGTTCCCCTTACTTGCTTAGAACTGAAATTTGAAAAAAACATCATCAAACCCATACGTGT